ATTTAAGTAGGAGTAAAAACGTTTGGGAATTCCAAAATAAGAGTGCTAAATGAAACCATATCAGAAAACATCATATGAATGAATATAATGATGCTCCAATACTCAGTTTTGACTCTGTTACAGATGCCTGCCTAATTGACTGCAGCTTTTGCGGCGCAGACCTGCGGTCAGCGCACCTGCAGGTATAGTACATGATTGAGTCTTTTTATATACGTTGTCGTAGCTATGCTGGATCTACCTACACTGTTTATTCATGTCATATGACTTTTTCATTTGCTCCGAGAATGCAGTAATTACTCATCATCATCATCATCATTACCCCAGTGCCGCAAAGGCTCCCACCAACGGGTGGGGTAAGGGGGGGGGGGGGGTCGGATGTGCGCAGTCTTACCCCTGTACTAAAGCACAGAGAATGCAGTAATTACTATGAAGATAAAATAATTTCCCATCCGCTTGTCTTAAGATGAGTAGAAAAATATATTTTTAGAATGTACACTAAGTTGTTGCTTCTGTAAAATGATTTCAGACTGCTGATCTAACCAATGCCAACTTGGAAGGAGCCAATTTGGAAGGGGCCAATCTGAAGGTATAAAATACATAATCTTTATTTATTAATAATCAAGCATGACCACCATCCACATGTTGAAGAGTTTACATCGTATGGTAAAATATGAAATAACAAATCAACATACAATACTTTCTCATATTAGATTGATCCCTCTGGGACAAAACTCAAGTCATGGTTTCAGAATCAAACAGGTTTATAACCATGTTGTTTGTCGGTGAAGACAATCCACGGTCGAGGGCAAGTTGTAGACCTGTCAGGGATGAAAAAATTGCACGGTCCAATGCAAGGGGTGTGTGCTCCTATAAGAAAAGAATATCAAGAAATGCATAGTCTTGATGAGGAAAAGTTTTTCATACATTGGCTAAATATAAAATAATAGACCAACTTAGACATAAGAACTCTTCTTTTCGGGAGGATGACCGAAGATCGAATCTCGAGTCTTAATAATCATCAACTAAGTAAGCTTCTTCTCTTTCAGGGTGCAAAGTTATCAAATGCCAATCTAAAGGGTGCAAATCTTCAAAGAGCTTATCTCCGACATGTCAATCTTCGTGAGACAGTAAGTGTTATTTGAATATCTAAAGAACCCCAAACTGTAATTCTGGTCCTGTATCTTTTACTTTTACTCATGTTTTAATTTTGCAGCATCTCGAAGGTGCAAGGCTTGATGGAGCCAACCTACTGGGAGCAATCAGATGACCAGTCATGTTGCTTGACACTCTTCCAGATTTCGCATCTGAGAGTGCTACTCCTTTTACCCCCTAATGGTCTGAAGTTTAGGACAGGGCAGGGTGGATGGTACATATTGTTAAATACGGAGTATGCTTTATATATATTTACAAGCAATTGAATTATACTAAAGCAGGGTGGGGTTTAGTGTTGTCTAAAAATAGTTTGAAAAGGGTGAGAAAGCAAGATGGTTGAAGATCTCCTTAATGGCGGTTTCGTCTGGGATTCTTGTTTCTTTTTATTGAAATAGAAGAAAAAAGTCTACGGGTTTGTTATCCTTCCCTAGTCACACCCACCGTCTGTGGCAGGTCTTTGTTTGGCGCCTGAGGGAGCTGTTGGGTCAAGTGTTGTATCTGCCATTATGCAAAGAGATTTGTTCATTTTCTGCCATTATGCATCCCAATCTTTTAATTGTATTTCTGCACCTACAAATGAACTTTAGAGACATCAACACATTCTTAGTTGAAATTTACCTTCATTCCTTTTTAGATGCAAATTCATTTATAAAGTCATTATAGACACTTCCATTTGAATTTCTTTTTCCACAGGCCATGAAAGGACACAACCAATTTTGAAGGGAATTGACAGTAAAATGTAAAGTAAATTATGTTAAAGTTATGTTGTTAAAAGGACACTTCCATTTGAATTTCTTTTTCCACAGGCCTTGAAAGGAGTATCAAATAGTTCTGGGAATTGTTAAAGTTAAGCATTTCTAGATCACTATAAGGCCATATTTAAGCTTCCTTCCGACATTTACTGAGACTCTTTCTACAATTCTACATGAGCTTTGAAACCGTTACTAAGACACGCTGCACAATTGTGTAAACCAATAATCATTGAGATGACATCAAGGCAACACACCTTTTTGTCCGGCCTAAAAGGCTAAAACTATTCTAATGTAGGGCTGGACCGGGACTGGTTCGACCGACCTGGTACTGTGTAGTACCGACCCGGTCCGCCAACCGGGACCAGTCCATTAGGCCCGAACCGGGTAAGGGGAGCGGGTTGCGGGTTAGGCCTTTTTTTTTTTCCCGAATGGATTGGATCATTTGGATCAATTGGTGCTAGCTGGGTGGTTTGGGGGTAGGAACAAATAAGAAAAACAAAAAAAACAATGCCTGACTTGACCTGGACTGGTCTCGGAACCCACCCGGACTGGTACCGGGCCTCCACTTCCCAGACTCGGTCCCGCTCAAGGTCTAACCTAGACCCGGTCTATCCCTAGTATACATTATATGGTTTATAACTTTATACGGAGTATTAGTTTATCACTTTATCTATGATCTTCATGAATTTCGAGAACATAGTTTCTGTATCAAGAAAAATTTAAACATAGCAAGAAAAATTTAAACATAGCATATGCTCACATATATGTGCCTAGATTCACTCTTTTTTTTCATGGAAAATTACCTTAAATAGAACTAAAAACGTTTGTATATTGCAAAATAGGACTCATGTTTTTATTCACAAAATAGGATTAATTACTATCGTGTTTTGGCACTACCCGACTTTAAATTGATATTTTTCAAAGTTGGCAGTATTTACTCCTATTAATGTCTGGAAACACCATATTAATGTCTAAAAATGTCGTGCTGCCCGTGCGGTAAGTGATGCATTAATGTAGTATGACTGTATGAGTATTTTACTTCTATTTAGAGAAGGAAAAGATATAATCTCATGTGCAGGACATAATTAAGAACGGTGATAGTGAGATAAGAAGAAGTTACAGAAAGAGATAACAAATTGAAGAACCGACGTGCCGGGATGGCGACGTGACTTTTTTTTATGTGCCGGCATGACTTTATCCAACGGAGTCCTCAATCTAGGGCTTTAGTGGATCTATCTTTGAGGCTTTGACATAATATGATTTTTTTTTTGGAAGAGTGGAGCTTACATTGATATCACAACATTAGCATTCAGAAAGGGATTAAAACGATATAGAAACCATAGACAACCATCAGCTCTCGAACCAGACTTTGAGAATCACCTTCAAACAAACAATATAACTCGTACATCCTATAATGCGCTTACATGAGCCAAAAACGATTGAAGTAGACCTACCATCACCCAATCTTAATGCAAGAGTTTTACAATCATAAATCTAAACAACAAAATAGTAAACAGCCTGATCAAAGAAAACAACAAATAAAAAAGCAGAAACATAAAAATTCTTCCCCAACATCAAATGCACCGCCATAAGCCCATAAGCCAACCAAACGATCCGTCCAACATCTTCAAACAATCTGGCAGATCTACTGGTTGAGACCGCCTCCTTCCCGTTTCTTTTTTTTTTCTTGTCAAGTGCCATGTCCTCTCCTGCTAGATCATCCTATTCCTTCTCCTCCCAGATTCTTCTGCGCTTCTACTCTCCCGACATCTCTTCCAGACTCACTGAGTTCCCTTCCTTAATAGAGCCTGTAGTAGCCTCCTACCAGCCCTACCCTCCTGTGCCCTGACTGTCACTCCTCTACGCTACACCCATACCAGTACTTGAGGACTCTTCAACCAACCACTTGTTTCCTCCTGCAGGACTAATCTTCACCCCACCCCCAGCTCTAAGATGAACTCCATAAGTTTTATCAAAAGTGATGTTATCCCTCTCATACACTACTGGACAAAACTTATCAGAATGCTCAAATCCCACAGATAAAGCAATAATTAGGGAGTTTTTCATACTTGAAATCCACCTACTCGCTAATACCCCTTTTTTTCAAGGTTGTTCCTTTTTTCAGAGGTCTCCTTATATCCGTACAAACCCTAATGCGCATATAGGCCTCCCATTTTTCATCAAACTGGCTTTCATCAAAACTTATAAAATTTCCAATATAGGTATCAATTCTCCTAGCAGATCCTAGATTCATAAAACCATACGCCACATTATGAATCTGAACCCAAAATTCATTCTCATTCAGTCTGATTTCTAAAGGGATATCCTCCGCCTTGATTTCTTTTAGGATCAACAAGTTCCTCTCAACAACCACTGACTTTCATCTAACACACGTCTCATATCCAAATTGTGGTAAAAAGTAAAGATGTACATTTTGTCGCCAATTTTCTTAATGGACACACCTTTGACGGGTCTCCATAGAGATGCCATCAACTTCTTGAATATCTGAAACTTGATCTTCAGATCCGTGAGTACCATACCAACGACCGGGAAGGCCACCATCCCATCGCTCGCCGTCTGCTCTCCGACATCATCATCATTGAAGATCAACTCCTCATTATCCTCACCAATAGCCATATGTTTGTATTGATTTAGGATATCGTCCATCGAAATAAAACCCCTCTGCTTCGTCCCAACCCCCTCGCCTTCACTATCGGCTGCGGAACCCGATGCTTCACTTTGCAGCTCGAAGACGTGCTTTCAATCGTTGAAGAAGACAACAGCACACCTCGCCCCCAGCCGTTCACCAATACACATAGCAACAATCCACCTTACGGCAGCCGCTCCTCGGGGAAGCTGAAAGGGGAAGAAACGAAACCTAGCGACGAAACGCCCTAGAGAGAGAAAGATTTCATAATTTTTTAAAAAATGACTTGATATGATTTTAAAAAATGGTACAAATGTTAAGTTAATCTTCATCATAATTTTCATTCAAAATTTAACAATATAACCATTTTAGCCCAATTTGATATTCTAACTAACGGGATTGCAACAAATTAGGATAAACCAGATTGTCAAAAAACAAAACATAGAAAGTTTGGAACTTTCCCGTATAAGCCTTTCCAAATGAAAAACAGGACTTCTCAATTGCCAGCCTCCATATAAAACCCTTCTATCTATTTATAACTTTATATACATCTCGAAGTAATTTCTATACAACTATGAGGAAGGCTTCTAAATCTACAGAGCGAGACTATGGCTCTAGGCATACACATGTTACATGATGATATCTGGAAACAAGATAGTAACTAAGATTCTAAGCACTGTGGGAGAAAAAAGGGCATCCTACTTCCCTACGAAAACAAAACAAAAACTGCGACGTGCATTTGAGAGCCTACTGAGAATTCTACTACTCTATACAACCCGTGGACCCAAGTACTGGATAACATCCATTTTCGACTCATCTGGTATTTCAATCTCCTCTAACCATCCATACAGGTCACCATCTTCATCTGCTTCTGCAACATTTACATCTCCGCCTGACATAGCAAATTGACAAATTATGGTGTGAGTATTACATCTGTGTAGCAAAGGGTAAGAAATAGAATTACAATAAGGTGAAATGGACCGCAAGCTTAGGAAAGGGAGGCAAAAGATTATAAAAAGTCATCGCTCAAGATAAAAAATGGATATTTTTAGGCAATCTAAACAGTTATTCATGGATCTGGTTTCTCTGCCTGCCGAAAAAGGGGACACCAATTCTCTCTCTATATATACTCCCTCCGTTTCTAAATCAAAGTCACATTTTTATTTCACACTTATTAATAAAATAAAGTTACTGAGGTGTAAATTTTACTGTAGAGTACATTGTTTTGACACTGTTTGACACTGCTTTGATATAAATTTCTTTGCCAAATAAGGAAGTGAGACTTTGTTTTGAAACATCCAAAAAAGGAAAGTGTGACTTTGATTTAGAAAGGGAGGGAGTATATACAAGCGCACACACACACACACAAAATTTCCTAACGCTGCACTTTTTAGATGGCAAAAGAAGTTTGCCTTATTACAAAATTGCCGCTGCATTTCCATCTTTTTTTGCACTTTTAGTGTAATTAATTATATCTCGAATCCAATGCATCGCATTGGTTCTCAATTCTCAAACGAAAGTTTTTTTTTTTATTTCAATATATAGACACACACACACATATAAGCACTAATTATATTGCATTACATGTTTTACCATTCTTAGCATCTAAAAATTGTATATGCAGCATGCATTAACTTGAGATTTCTAGTGGATTTAAATAAAATATCACGTACGAGTAGAACCCAAGCATAGTTTAGGATGAAGAAAACCTACTTGATGAAGCACCATAGGGAATGTCCCTGTAATATGAACAGTCACGCCCATCATCTTTGGAATATGGCGGTCCAAGCACATCAAGCACTGCACATGGTGTAATAGCCCTAAATTCATGAATGTTTCCTCCAGATGTAGGATATAAGACAGAGGTGTTGCATTGTGGTGTGAATGTTTTATTTGCTTTCAATTTTGCCAATCTCAATGTGCATCCATCTTGATTTGAATCACCTAAAAATTTTTGAAACAACAACAGATTGATGTATGAGGTACTGCTTTATTTATTGCAGTGTATGTAAAATGTTTAGAAGAAATATTTTGTCTTTGGGTGCGTGTACATATTAGGAAATAACTAACAGGTTGAGAACAATGAGGAGTTAAATAGTCTGTCACCTATAGCAGCTGAAGATGGAACATCAGCCCAGTCATACGCTTTGATGTGCATGCTTCCCAGTAGAAGCTTGCTGAAAACTGTCATTCCCGGGTGATTATGTAAAGGTATAACAGCAGCTGAGGGAAGAAAGAAAATGCACAACTGCATATGACAAGTTGGATGAAGATGATTTAGCTGTGCCACTTCCATACTTTTAATTACACAAAACAAATACATAAAAATGCGGATCCAGTAAAATTACATTTGATAACATTTGATACACAGAAAGTTCCATAGACAGAATAATAAGAACATCCTCTGTGTAGGGGAATTGGAAAGTTTAGTGATTTTCTTCTTACCGAGAAGTTGTTGCCCTTGTAGATCGTTGTGTTTGTGACTCTTGGATTACCTTCAACCACACCTTTAGGATTAAAGAATTGCAGATTGCTGCTCAGTCCAACGTCTTCTGGCATCATATCATCTACAAAGGATAGTAAAAACTCATTCAGAAGACTAAAAGCAAACTAATTTCAGGAATAGTTAGTTGTGCAAAGAATGCAAGGAATGCCTGCATAACTTTTGTTTTTGCTGTACAAAAACACCCCACATTGCCCTCTAAAGCCCTATCTGATTTAAATTTTAAAGAGTGAAATCCATTCCAACCAATTGCAGTGAGTCAATGCATTCTAACTTGCTTTACTAAAATCCTATAATTACCCCCATTAAATCTGTGGGATATCATTTACTGCCATATGCTAACTGCTGCAAGACTAAGACCCAGAGTTAGCTTTCAGAAAATGCTATGGAGTGATGCTAAGTAAACTGATTATTTACCCTGAACTGACTGAATGCTCATTAATAATGAACTCACTATTTGTTTTTGAGAAAATGTGCACTATGAATGTTCTGAGCATTTTGGATAATGAACTCACTATTTGTTCCCTTTATACCCCCTCACTAAATAGTCTTCTCATTTCCTTTTCTGCCTCTAAAAGTTTTTCCCATTTCCATTTATAGTAAATATTAATAGTAACTTTCCCTTCTCTCCTACTTTTTACTCCATTTCCACTCTTTCCACATGGGGTGTGGCCTACCTTCCTTAAAATTTGTGCAAAATCTAATTTGTCCACGAAGTACATTCCTACTTTTTACCGTATCCCGTTCTTTCCACTTATGATGGTCTAAATTCCTTTAAATTTGCGCAAAACCGATGTCAATGACTTTCCTACTTTTTTTTTTTTACTTTTCCCGTCTCTTTCCACTTGGGGTGGTCTAAATTCCTAAATATTTGTGCAAACCTTAATGTCGAAAAACAAGGAAGACAGGAGTGGATTCATATACTACGTATTTCATTTCAAATAATGTTTCATATAAGGCTTCCCCAAGTGCATAATCAGATCTTGCAATAGAATTCCCTTAAGAGGAGAACAGCCCACCCATTTTCGTCACATTCAAATCCACAGGACCATATGGGACAAATATATGCAGAAGTAGAAATATACCTATTGTCCTAAGGAGTATCTAATGTAAGAATTGTGGTGTGATTCAAAAAACGTTCACATTAGTCATACTTATTTACTCGGGACAATACACAGGATTTGATATTACCATGCAGTTTCAGCTGTTATCTCAAATATTGATGAATCTCTACTATAAAAACAATTGTCAAATAGAACTTTTTTTATGGAAGATTAAATACATTATGGCCTAAATCACAATGGGATCACCTCAATGAAGTTAATGAAAAATCGAAATAATTTTAGGGTCATAATAATACAGAATAGCTTCAGATAATTCGGCCGCTCACTCACCTAGAATGCGGCTGAGCCTCTCCACATCACTATCGGAAGGGACGGTGCCGGGGCCTTTGAACACTTGGTGGCACATCATAAACAACCGCTGCAACTGCAAACTTTCAGGAACCGTCCTGGGCTTCACATCACAAGGCTTTTTAGCCGCTTTAGTATTCCTGCATCTCTTCTTCAGTATACCGCCCTTACCGACACCAGTGTTGACGTGCCTCACCGGAGAGGCCGCCGCCTCTCCGGCCGGTTCCAGCAGCCCTCCAACAGCCTCCACCGCCGTCATATGAAGCTCCGCGCGTCTGGTGTAAAAGGTGCTCTCGAGATTGTCGTCCAATAGATGAAGCGGCGAGAGATCTGAGAAGATAAGGATGGGGCCGTACAGGAATGCCTGTTTGTATATATATCCGAGATGGTGGATGAAGAAGAAAGGCAAAACCAGGGGCCATGGAGAGAGAATCAATTCTCTTGTTTCTGGTAATTCTTTTTTATTTCTAATTTAAATTTCGCTTCTTTTTATTTTTATTTGAATTTTTTCTGGATCAGATTTCTCTGAATCCTTCTTTATTTAAAATCTACCGCCCGCAAGATTGCGAAGACAAATTGGAAAACTGCGAGTAGTTTTGGGCATTTTGCTCTTACTATTCCTTGCACTTCCCTGGTCCACTGCAAAAACTGTGGGTTATTTCGGTTAGGTAATTCCATTTTGGGTGTAACTAAAATTACTAGAAGCCTTTAATTTACGTGGACTCGGTAATCGGTATAATCATACTTCACTTTTCACGGTTGTAGCTTTTAATTTATTTTTTCCTTAAAACGTTACGATTCATTTCAAGTACACATGAGTTTATACATTTCATTTCCCATTTTACTAGTTTAAGATAATAAATGTGAATTTTATAAAAGTGAGATATTTTAGAATTGTAAGTGATGATACAGTATTGTAGTTGCTGGTTTCATTCTAAAAAAAATGAGACAATTAATTTGATACATCACAAAAAGAAAAGTAGGACAATTAAATTGATACGGAAGAATATTATTTTAGGTCTAAAGATTAAAATAATAAGGGAAATGAACGTTTGTGGATATAATAAAAGTAAAAAACTACTACGTATAAAGTATTACTTGAATAATCTTCCGGTCGATTTTTTTTAATCGGAACATTGTAAGGCCACCTTTATTTGGAGCACTTTCAAAGGCAATTTATTATGATATTTTGTGAGCATATTTTTCATGAGTGTGATTTATGCCTATCAAAATTTAGATTAAAACTCAATCGGTAAGTTAGTCAAACAAATTATTGAAAAATACTACATCAAAATATATTTAAAAAATTAAAAAAATTCAATAACTTATTTTACTCACTCCCCAACTGAAAGTCAAGTTAAATTTGATGGGCATAATTTAAAAAGTATTTCATAGAGAACATGCTCATAAAATTAAAGCAAAAAAAATTCACCGGAAGCATCTCAAATGGAGGTGGCCAGATAATATTTGGGTCAACAAAATTTTGACGAAAATATTTTTGCGACTCCATATACTACGATATAGCAACACCGATTTAATGCAACACAACTCACCACTCGAGCGATTTTATTAAAAGAGGACTGAAGGGATCGACAAAAAATAATGAATCTATATTTTTCTTCCTTACTAATTGTATTTTACTGATTAATATTAATATATTTGATGTATAACAAAAACATATAATACTAATAATTTAAAAAAAAAACTCGAGGCCCATAAATCGGAGCCCTACTTTGTAGAACTTATATTCAACTTCCTAAAAATTGAGTCCGACTAAAACACTCTATAACTTATAGAAACAACAACTGCTTGATGTGCCCACTCTTATACCCACCATGTTTGTGAAGTGTTTTTTTCTATGAATCCGGTTCACAGACAATATTTTATTTGTGCAAAATACTGTATGTGAACCGGAGTTCATAGACAAAAAAACACTTCACAAACATAGGTGAGTACAAATGTGAATATAAGAGCGAGTACAAACATGATTTTTGAAAAAACAAATACTCGGTATAACACAAACGCTAACTTCACAAAATAACAACCAACCCGATGTTTTCAATTTTCATATAATTAATAATTAGACTATCGAAAGTCAACCATTGTAAGGGTTATTAGGAAAAGTTGATAAGATTTTAAAAATTCATAAATTCAAAAAACAAGAAGCTCATAAACAAAAGTTTAACAGGTAGTAAGTATCAAAATCTACACATAATTAGAACAATATAGTGAATATACACAAAAAATGTTCTGGAAATTTAAAAATTCATGATAAATATAAGTTTAATGAAGGTAATTATACAAATAATATGGAACATACAAAATATGAAAATTGAAATTCAAAAATATATCCACAAAATACAAACTCTTTATTTATATATGAGAATTTACCCTAAATAGGACTAAAAATGTTTGTGGATTCCAAAATGGGACTGTCATGTTTTTAATTCTCAAAATGGGACTAATTACTGTCATGTTTTGGCAGTACCGGACTTTAAACATGACAGTATTTTCCAAACTTGACAGTAATTACTCCTATTTTGGGAATAAAAACATGACAGTCCTATTTTGGAATTACAAACGTTTTTGGTCCCATTTCAGGAACTTTCCCTTTATATATTACGGAGTATGTGACTTGTAACTGTTTTTAAGTTCTTACTTTGACCCTCACACATTTTTAGGAATTAAATTTGACTTTACTGTTTAGACACTGTTTGGCACTGTTTGACACTATTTTGATGTAGGAAAATTTTCTATTTAGGGAAATGAGAAGATGATTTTGGGACGTCCCAAAAAGAAAAGTAAGAAGTTAATAGCGGGCCGGAGGGAGTACTTATTACTACTGTATATTTGGTTTCAATTTTTGTACTTCATCCGTCTGTTTTTTCTTTACTTTTGCTTTTATCATTTCTTTCAAACTTTTTCACTTAATCGCTTTATTTTAAACATGTTTATCCTATTCCCTACGTGTATTTTTTCGTCATCTACAATATATAGAACGAGTTTGCCGTCAGGTGATTATAAATAGTACAAAAATGCTTTTTGTGGACGTCGGCTCACACACATTTTGCACCTCAAAGTCTATTATATGTGTGCATTTATAATTGATTTTCATTTCGGTAAATGCAACTACATGTGGTCTTGAAAAAGTGAATTGTTTATGCAAAGACAATTTGGGGTCACAAATTCCTTTATCAAAATAAAAATCAATTTTCTATACACAAACAAATACACTTACGTGTAAATGGGCGTATAAATCATTCTGTACAAGTAACATTTTATAAAATTCATGACAGACCCAAAGTTACCTTTAAAGTGTTTGCCATTTATTTATTATTTTGTACTATACTTCTAGCATCGTTTTGCAAAACTTTTTAACCTATTACAATATCTGTGCTATACTCCTAACATTTATGTAGTACTCCCTCCGTCCCCCTAAGTTTGGGACGGAAGGGTGTGGTGTGGTTTTTAAGAAAAAGTGGAATTGTGTGGTTGGTATTGAATTGATAAAGTGTAAATAAAGTAAGAATGGATTCTAACCACTCAAATGTTACCAAATATGGTATGAGACAAACTTAGTGGGACGGACGAAAAAGGTAAAACGGGACAAACTTAAGGGGACGGAGGGAGTAATAATTTGTTTTGAGGTGGTAACCGCCGACTTTGATTTAACAAATACCTCATTTTAGAAAAAAATGACTAAATTACGAATAAAATATGAAAGTTTCATATATAAATCAAATTTGAGAAGAGTTTGATCATACTCTTACTCTTAGATTAACTTGTTTTAATTAATTATTAACTATAAAACGAGTCGAAAAGGGTTTGACTATATTCCCGGCCTCTAACTGATGAAAGTTTCTAATCAACTCTTACAAATGTATATTGATTCTATTTGATATTGGACTTGGAATTGATACTTTAATATAAAGAAAATATGTGGGCAAATAGTTTAAGTGTATTTTCTCACGAAATAATTAGGAAAATTGAAAATAATAATCTCAACTATTACCGGTCCGCTATAAGAGCATCTCTAATGGTAAAATGTGCACGGTGCACACGTGGCATGAAAAATAGCCACATAAATATTAGTAAATAAATTCTTTCTCTCCTTATTTGAATGATTTTATACAGTTTTGGTAAGTTTTTCTCCACACTGTCAAGGAGACCGTCTAGATGTTGACATTGTTGTTGACATTGCTGGGAAAAACTTACCAAAATTGTATAAAATCATTCAAATAAGGAGAGAAATAATTTATTTGCTAATATTTATGCGGCTATCACTCATGCCACATGTGCACCGTGGACATTATATCATTGGAGATGCTCTTAATAATCCCAACTATTGAGTATTCCTGGGTGGTCTCAATTATAGGTATCATTTTCCAAAAATAGTCCATAACCTGCTACAACCTAGTATAGCAAGTCAAATTTAAATGCAAACTATGCATAAGTTATAAATAATCCCAACTATAGTTGATCTTCTTTTATTAATCCCAATTATTAACGCTCAATTTTCATTAAAAAAAATCTCAATTTTAGAAAAATACAAAAATATTTTTATAAATTTCCAAATTATTTTTTTAAAACATGTAAAAATTATTATGAAAATATTATAAAATATTATAAGTCCTTTTTTATTTATTTTCACTAAAATTTTACTTCTTTTTTTTAATTTTTCTAATTTATTATTCCCGGTTGTGTTAGCAAGTTATGATTTGGTATTATTTTCCTTTATTCAATTTTACATTTTCTATTTTCAAAATGTAAGATGTGACTAAAAATTTTATGATTGAAAGCTTTATTATAGTTTTTTTCATGAAAATATATTTTATTAATTTTATGCTATGTTAATTATAAATTTAAATTCTCTATTTTATCCATTTCAGTATTTGTAATTTCTTTCTATTTTATTTATTTTATATAAATTATAAAATATAGTTTATCGTTCAATTTTAGTGATATGGGTCATATGTTTTGGAGGTTTTGGTTATTTTTAATGAAAATGTATTAATATTCTAATTTTATGTGATCTAGGGGAAATTGTAAAATATGTAGCAAAAATGTATCACTTCAAATTGAAATATTAATATATTTTCATTAACATAGCCAAAACCTCCAAACCTATGTCCCAAATCACTAGAATTCAATGATAAACTATATCATATAATTTATTGAATATAATAACATATATCATATAATTTACTGAATAAAGAGAATTTTGATTTTAACAAAATTTAATAAAATAGATTTTAATAAAAAAAATCTTGAATAAAGATTTAAATCATATTTCCTAATCACAATATGCTTTTTGAAAACATTAAAGGTAAAATTGATTAAAGGAAAATAATACAAAATCACGACTTGTATCTAAATAAAATTAGAAAAAAAGAAAAAAATGAGAGTTTTAGTGAAAATAAAAAAAATGGCTAAAAATATTTTTATTTAGTTTCGGTACATTTGTAGGATTTTCATCATTATTATTATATATTTAAAAATATTTAATTTGGCAATTTATTAAAGTATTTTTATATTTTTTTTTAAATTGAGAGTTGATAATTGGGATTAATAAAAGAAGATTGACTATAGTTGAAATTATTTATAGCTTATACATAGTTCGCATTTAAATTTGACCTGCTATATCAGGTTGGAGTAGGTTAGGGACTATTTTTGGAAAATGGTCCCCATAGTTGGGACCACTCATGAATAATCAATAGTTAGGGTTATTAATAGCGGATCGCCAATAGTTGGGATTATTATTTTCAATTTTTCCAAATAATTACATATATATACGACTAAAATAAAGATTGCTTCCTTGCCAAATAAAAATAAAAATTGCTTGCAAAAATATGGCTAATGACTAGAGTAGTAATGAAGTCATAATAACTTATGTTCAACTTTTAAACTTAAGTTATCAGGACACTACATACAAGTAACTATTAGTCATATGTGTGTAAATAAGTTTTATTTTAACAATATTTTTGAAAAAAACTACCGCGTCATTCTTGATGTAAACAAAATGTGTACATTGCCTGTGTACACATACAATTAGGGTTTTTTTGCATCAAACCATGTTCTTTTTTAAATAAATTGACTGTATACACAGCCAACTAGGGGAATTTTGTATACATTTGTTTACATTATACTAAAAGAAATTCTTATAATAACTGCATACAAGAATTGGTAGTATCAGTCCATATTAAATTCCACCAAATTGTTAACACTATTTAAACACATCGGATCTGGGTGAAAATGCAAAATAGATCCCAATTCCCAACTCAAGAACATGTAATAAAAAGACAAAGGGACCAATTCACTTTTTTATTTATGATCTAATTTCTATAAAAATCAAAGCTAATAATTAATTTTGGAAAAATTGACAAGAATAATCCCACCTTTCATTGGTCTTCTCATAATAATCCCACCTTTAAATAATCCCAAAAAAATCTCACATTTGCACTTCATCTTCTTTCATTGGACCCTGACCATGTTTTTTACTCTTTCTTTGAAAATTATACAAATAATCTCACCTTTCACTTTTTAATTATATCCTTATAAATGTGAGATTATTTATATAAGATTTTTAAAAAAGGTAAAAAACTTGGTCAGGGTCCAATGAAAGAAGATGAGGTGCGAAGTTGGGATTATTTTGGGATTATTTAAAGGTGAGATTATTATGAGAAGACCAGTGAAAGGTGAGATTATTCTTGTCAATTTTTCCATTAATTTTTCATCATTGATACAAATATTACATACTACCTCTATCCCAAAGTGTTTTGCAAAATCAACATTTTTTTATCAGCCAATGTTAAAATTAAATCACTCTTATTGACAATTAATTCAATTTTAATATATAAAATTTAAATGTGCATAACCTACATTAGAATCTCTATGAAGCTGTAAAATTCAAATTAAAATTTAATTAAGAATTGATATGAATTTATTTGACTCAAAAAAGCCAATTTTGCAACTCAATTTACGACGGAGGGAGTATAAAGAAATTAAAAAAAAAAAATTAAATATTTCATTTTTAGGCGGAGGGAGTATTATTTTCTTTTATCTTTTAGATCATATCCATATAGGCTAAAGCACCAACGAACCTAGTTTATTTTGCGAGCAGCATCTTGTTCATCCCTTTATAATCAATTAATGCACACTAGCATTCATGTTCAACTTTTTTAATGTTCCCCAACAGGCACTATTATTGGCAATGTTCATGATGTGATAACATATACTGTAGTATGAAACATTCAAATAACAGTAGTAGTTCTAGAGAATCTCCCGTTTCGGTGGATCTTCAACTTAGCAGCAGGGAGCTTCCGGGAAATGGCCTGCCAAATCATCTGGACAGCATCATTTGTCTTAGAAGGGTACTGATACTCAAAAAACGTTTCGACCTCCTTCAGCTTAAGCCACATTCTAGTCCACTCTTCCTTTCCTATACTTCTAATGAAGTTAACCAGGAAGTTCTTCTTGAGGGCATCTGCTGTGCGGACAAACACACAGAAGGACGAATAGTCGAGAACGTCTTCATATGGAAGCTCTATGTCATCACTAATGATGACAGGAACACAATGACTGGCGATGGCATCAAAGAGGCGGTTTGATGAGGGAGTGTCTCCAGCTATGTTGAGGCAAAATTTGGAGGTTTGCATCCCACGCGTGGCTTGACTTATCCCATTCTTTTGAACGCTTCCGAATGAGAAGTGTACATCTTTCTCATCTTTTAGCAGATAGAACAGCTCCTGCCTAACAAACCCCCCCTGAAAAGTCCAAACCGTCCGTGTATGGAGTTTTGTGTTAGAAAGCAAAACGAGAAAGATGAGAGGTGTAGAATAATAAATTACTTCCTCCATCCCGATTACTTATCTCTGTAGTATCTTCATTTTCTTTTAATTTCGAATCACAGGGTTTTAGTTACTACTACGTAATATGCATTTTATTCTCATTGAAACGTCATAAATCATTCTGGACAGGCAAAGTAGAACAGAGGAAGTACTACTTTGTTGATACAAGTTCATCATTTCTAGAGAAACCCAAGTCGGTGGGAATATAGAACCTAACCTTGAACTAAAAGGAACAGGAAACAAAATAATACTCCCCCCGCCCCCAATGATTGTCCCATATTTCCTTTTGCGTCCATCCCACTAAGTTTATTTCATACCATATTTAGTACTCCGTAATACTTGTGTGGTTCTAATTCATTCTTAGTGTATTCACACTTTACCAATTTAATATCAATCACAAAACTCTACTTTTTAAAAACCGCACCTTACCCTCTTGTCCCAATCTTAGGAGGGATGGAGGTAGTACTACTACTACTTAAACTATGAGAACTATATTACTACTATTTCTATATTTTAATAGGAAAGATAAGCATCCCTCACTTTTGCCTAAGCAGGTAAGTTGTGACTCGTTTTCTTTTTTAGGTTGTTCCATATTACACAAAATCAACTTACCCATTAAATAAAATTCTAGTCACTCAAATTAAATCTCCACCACATGAAAAGTATTTTCTCTCACCTCTACAAATGCTTTCTTAAAACTGCATATAACCCAACTAAGACGAGTGAATAGGAACCGAGTATCTTTTGATATAAGAATCTTGTGGTTATGAGTTATGACTAGGGTTGCCAAAGAGGCCGGTTAAATATTACTCCCTCCATCCTTAAGTTATCTCCTGAAGTACAAATAGCACGGGGATTAAGATAGTGGGTATTGTGTGGTGGTGAGTTGTGCAGAGGAGAGAGAAATGTGAAATAATGTGTAAGAAACTAAGAAATGCTGTGAATCACAAATTATATGCCGAAAAGGGAAAGAGGAGATAATTTTGGGACGGACGAAAAAGGAAAGTTTGAAGATAATATTAGGACGGAGGGAGTATAATACAAGTTACAACACACACGCCTCTTAAAGCTACAAAACTAGCATTTGCAGATTTAGTTCCTTCAAAATTCATTCATAACACTCGCACTACTTTTTTATACAACGGAAAATATAAGACTAGCGCTATACACATTGGTCTTTCATGGACTTTGTAATAAGTGGTAATGTTGCCCCCGCCAAATCGGTGCACCATTAGAGGTGACCATTCAACTGGGTGCTCCATAAAAAGCACAAAGAGAAAAACTAGTGTTGTGTATCAACAAAGGCAGATCAAGTCTCCAATTATTTCCAAAAGGTATGCCTTCCCAACCTGAATGTCAAGTCACTTCCAAAAACCCATTTCTTGAAACTGTAAACAAGGTTATTACCAGCGATCTAAAAGACACTGTAAACCTATCCAACATACCCCAATCAACTGAAACTCCATGAGGCTACGCACAATGAGATAGAAGGAAAATTGATTTGGCTAAGGAAATAATGCAACACAAGCCTCATTTTGTAGCTTAATCCTGTACCGTAGCTTCCTTACTTTTCTCAAGCAAGGCATTAACCTGCCTCTTTGATCTCATTATCAGCTCAAAACACATATCCTTGAGCCTTCATATAAGCCTCCAAACCATTATCTTGTATCCACAGGATGAATTTCAATCATTTACAGTACTAATTCTTTTCTAAAGGGTAAAATGCATAAATGGATGGTACTATTGGTATTGATGCATTTATGTGTCCAAGTCCAACTGTTGAATGAATTGAATTAATATTCTAGCGCACAAGTGTACAATTAATTGTTGTAGGATTGCACTATTTGAAATTCTAGTAAAAATAAAGTAGTTTTGTAGAGTTGACTCATGTGCATCCCACAAAGAATTATGTGTCATTGATTAATCTGCCGAGTTTATGAGGCCATCATGATTCAAGAACAACTCTGATCTGTTGCAGCGACTAGATTAGCTACACATCTGGTTTCTTTCTCGAATACTACCATTTTGTTAAAGTGTTGATAGCACTGATTATGTGGACTAACGTATTAGTTATTACATAAAATGGAATTTATCTTGCAAAATTATATGATTTTGGCCAGAATTTTAGGCGTTGATAACCCTTTCTGAGACATCTAAATATACTTAAGGTACTCAATTTGCTTCATTTATTAGTTGTACCAAAATGCATCAATATCCCCATATATCCTAGTTAACCCTAAAAATCCCTACCTAATCTCGCCTAGGCTAGAGTTCTCTTGACTGCCTACGTGAAAAGTGAAAACAATAGCTCGCCTAACCTTGAATATACTCCACCTCACCCTACCCTACCCACATAGAACAAGCACTTTTTAGAGCATTGACTCTTGAGCAAACATACAAGACAAAATCAAATATAATTAACAGATAGATCAAGAAAGAAGCACTGATAACTCACATCTTTTCTGTATATAGCTCCTTGGAAATACAGCAACATTGGACGGCTATCAAAGCCAGATGTATCATTGATGTAGTTTCTTACAACATGCTTGTAAGGTGCAATTATATCTTTCTGAACATTTGCTACATTTGGAGGATATCTTCCGAAATCAGAAAGAATGAACATCACAGGCCAAAGCTTCATCCGTGCATCTAAGAGACTATTAGGATGATGGGCGAGGACTATATGGTCACTTCCTCCTGATCTCTTCCATTCATCTTGACTTGTTAAGAAAGTGACCAGTTTCTCCTGCAGCAAAGTGTTTGTGCTCACTTTCTGGTGTGGCTGCAGCCTTGAGAACCGGTTATAACACAGTGATGAAAAGAAAGGGACAAATACGACATCGGCCTCACTTGAATCATGCACCCTTACAGCAGTTGAGTCGCTCGAATTGTCAAAGAATTCCGAATGCAAAAGATCTAATGTCAACCAATACTCTATACTATGTTGCAAGTTCAACCCACCGGGATATGGCGGGACCTCACTTCTAATATCAGGCCAAACAGTCTTCCCCACAGGTTTCCAACCCAGTAGTCCAAAGTGAAATTCTGGGGGCAAATCATACATAAACACCTTTAGTTTCGGTTTACAATCATATCTGCTTGATTCTGATCCTTCCTTCACATCCAAACCATCCTTTACCAAGTTTTCATTGTCACTTTGGTCATGAGCTAATGACAACAGCTTTGAGTTGGATGGTATACTAAGGTCAACAGGTAGAGGTTGATGAGTGGTTTGCAACACATAAAACCAAGAAAAAGTGAAAATGATGGAAGTCGCTATGAACAGACAAAACAATGACTTCATACAAAAGATGCCCACATTTTTTTCTGCCATTTCCAATGCTCAAACAATAGCGCACACCCAAAGTATGAATCAAAGTATGAATCAATTAGATAAGCATTGCTCAACTCCTCAGAATCAGCTGGAATCAAAATCCCAAATAGAAGAACGAGGAAACATTAGGGTTAATAGCAATAGAGGAACTTTTGGCTAAATAAGCTGAAACAGGGCCGTGAAAATGAAGGCACCTGAATCACGAATGGTGGGACGGATGAGATCCCACAATGTGTACCATTATGTATACAGTGATTACACCAGGTTTGTTGAATTACACAGTGTGCCTCTTCTGGAGGTCTCTGTAGCAATTTCCGCGTTTCAGTGGTATATTTTCCCACCATGAAACTGAATGAAAGGAAAAATTGGGCACGAAATGACCGAAAGTAGAGAAGGATTTCTCCGTGGAGCAAGGGATCAGCTACTCTGGGGAAGAGACACGTAGATATTGTTGCCTGAAAATCTGGGGACGGCTTCACCGAATGGCAACGGTGGGCCAATCCCATATGATACAACAACGGTCTTCTCCCTTCATTACTTTGGAGAACATTTTTTCCTCGGTTCCCTAACCTCCCCCACATAAATCATTTTTGTCAATATTTGCTGCTCCTCGTCAAATTATTGATTCATCCTTAATTAAAAAGTTTGGTTTGACTTTCACACAATTTAAAAAATGATACGTTAAACATTGTTTGAAAAATGTGTGACGCTGTTTGATATTGCTTGACACTATAATGTATATGTTGTTTATCAAATTAGAAAGAAAACATTCTTAAAGAACAAAAAAAAGTGAGATGTTTATTCAAAGAGAGAGTAGTTAATTATCATATTAATTGTCTTACCACTCGAGCTTGGCTGAGAGGCTAGTTTACCGTCATTTGAAAAAGTATCCCAAATTCCCTTATTTGGTAATTTGAACTCAAACCTCTTACAAGGAGAGGATCTTAAGTCGAGAACACTTGAAAGACTCCATTAATTAGATTTGATCTAAAATCTTTTGTATAATTGAGTTCTAACTTCTAATGTTCCGAAATCCGGATTGATAAGAATCATTATGAGATTTATTATATCTTTAATTCTTTATCAACCTTTATATAAAGTAGGAAAAATTGATAGTAATAATCCCAACTATTGGCAGTCTGCTCATAATAATCCCAACTATCGATTATTTCAGAATAATCCCAATTTTGGGGATCTTCCGCCAATAATGGTCTGACGTGACCGGCTATAAATAAATTTCTATAGTTTCTAAAGTGGATGGGAAGAGATATAACAAGTAATCCCTATAAATAATCCTAACTTTTAATCTTTTCACTTAATTTCTATGTGAAATTCACTTGTTATCTGGTCATGGATCATTATTGACAGACAGTCCATGTAGTTGGGATTATTGTTAGAGGACCGACAATAGTTGAGATTATTATTTTTAATTTTTCCCATAAAGTATAATAATGTCTAATTTCATTCGAGTCTTTTTGTCATATTAACTCTTGTTTGAATCTTTTCATCGATTCGGATATGGTTAAATGTTTTTATATAATATTGTCTTATCTAACTAAAAGTGAATAAAATGCCATAACACCAACTTAAAGAGAACAACAATTGAATCATACCTTTCTTTTTGCTTTTCCTTGTTTTGCTAGGAAAGAACGAAACAAATACAAATATTAGTTGGTCCCGCTTCTTTGAAAATAGTGAACATTGGCCCATAACTAGAGATATTATTGGGAAAGGAGTTTTTATTCCCTTGTTTTATTTGTCTTGGTCATGCCATTTGTCTCACTCTCCATTTTTTTAATACTTTTCTCTTCTTTATCATTCTTTATATTCCTAGCATGCTTTTCCTGATCATGCCTGGCCTATGCCTCCTATGAGCTTTAAATTACTTTTCAAATAAGGAAATAATAATAATCACAACCTCTGTTCTAAAAATCGTTCTAGGCGTTCGACTAGTCCCCGCCTAGGCGCTAGGCGGTGGTCGGGCGCCCCGATTTTCGTCTAGGCGCTCCGGCTAATTGGTTTGCTGTCTAGGTGAATTAGTCGGCCGCTTATGGCGCCTAGTTGCCCGCCCAGAGCGCCTAATCGGCCGCCTAGGCCATCTAGATTCGTCGAACATTACTTTACGTTTAAATTTTAATTTTCTAAACGATATAAGTACTTTAACTTTAGCCACGAATATAAAGAAATGGAGTTGTAAATCAAAATAAAGACAATACTCCCTCCATTCCGTTGGGATGTTCCCGGTTTGACCCACACACATATTAAGGAAATAAACTTACCAGGGGGTAAATTTTACTGTGTTGACACTGTTTGGCACTGTTTGACACTATTTTGCACTGTTTGACACTGTTTTGATGTAGGATAACTTTCCATTTAGGGAAATGAGAACTTCTCTTTGGGACATCCAAAAAAGGAAAGCGGGAACATCCCAACGGGACGGAGGGAGTATATGTTTGTATATATACCTAAATTTTATTATTATTTATATTTACAACATAATGAAGTTAAGTGTTTAGTTATCATATACTCCGTATGATTAAATGTGATAATTCTATCATTCATTTTGTTAATGTATGTGTATATATGTATTTTATTCACACTAGAATACTATATTACTTGTCATATTTATTCAAAAATATAGATAAAATGCAATTTCTATGTTCCGACTAGTCCCCGCCTAGGCGCCCGCCTAGCCGCCTAGGCGCTAGGCGCTGGGCTGGCGCCCGACTAGCGCCTAGCGCATTTTAGAACATTGATCACAACTGACATACATATCAATTTTCCGTCACGAAAGTACTACATCTAATCCACGCACAAATATTTCTTAATTTGATTTAACTTTACGACTTTTAAATTCAATTACAAGCATAGTTTAAAGTTTGTACATTGGTTCAAATCAAACTTGAACATAGGTGTATTCAGTTTCTTAATCTTTTGAGCACGTGGAACTGTGGAAGTGAGGAACCATGAGTCCATGATTTATAGTTTCCAATTGTGTGGAATTTCATAAAATTCCCTAAATTATAAATTATGGTTATTAAAAGTAAAACACGTATCTAATAATTCTGGCATCTACTTAACACTGTCTAAACTTCGAATTTCTATATACTTGTCATGCCTATCAATACTCAACTCCTACGGTGAACACAAACCGAAGAGTCCAAGACAACCAAATCTACTATTTTGAGCCTATCGAACCAATAACCAAACTGGGATGAAAATCCAACCCACACCCATTTTTCTAATGTCTGATACCATTCCAAACTCCAAACCTGTTCTAATTCCTCCAAAATAAGACCAGATTCAGTTCCAGGTTTGGTTCTTTTTTTTAAATGTATTAAAGAAGTGGTCTGGAACCAGAACTGGGTATACCCATTTATAATTCTTATTATTTATAAAGCAATAATATCAATGCACAAGGCTGTGGCATGTCACAGATAGGACTAGAGTGGGGGTGCCAATTGATGGTCCTGGGCTATTTCAGCTGCAGGCTGATCTCCGGCAGGATATGAAGCAGGTAGTTGCTGGGCCGTCTCAGGATGCTCGAGCATGTTCGACAACAACATAATACCACTACAGATTAGCAATAATTTTACATTTATTCTACAGGGAGTACGTTTCTAATAAAACTCCTCATATGATTTATGAAGCTCACAATGCTACACAGCATACATATCATATGTACATTGGGTAGCAGAAAGGTTTTTACCATTTGCAGGTTTGAAACCATTACTTCCCTTTGTTGTCTCCTCCTATCTTGTCTGGCCCCAGCACGCCATCACTATAAGCTATGATGGGCAATGAATGCTGTACAGACGAATGATACAATAGATGCAATTACACTGATTGAAACACACATCAAGTGCAATAGGAAACGCTGATTTCCATTTGCTTAAACAGTAAAATGAACTATGCCGAAGAGGCATCGTAGTTCCTGTAAACTTCATCAATATGGGCTGCAGGCACATAAACTGCATCCCGTAGCACGCTGTGGGTCCGGCCATAGAAAATATAAACCAGCATCCCTAGGAGCAACCATATGGATACACGGGCCCAAGTCGCAGCACTGCACATAAAAAATAAAGTTCAATGCTATGCGGGTGGGTGGGGCTACACACCTATCCTTTTCTTCTTTTCTTCTTCAACAAACAAATACTACGTATGTCCTAATGATCACACCATAGGAGGACTCACCCAAGATTTATTAGCAAGTAGACATTGATGAGAATGCTGGCAATTGGCAAAAGAGGAACAAACGGACAGACAAAACCTGGACAAATGGCAATTATACATTTAAAATTTGGCCGGGAATTGAGTTCAAAACATGCTTGCTCATACCACACAAAAGAAGTAGTTTTACAAACGTGCCTGTTTGCTGGGCTTGAGATAGTAATTTTAGTGTATATAATTCATGGTCCATTAAAGAAAAGGCCTATTGAAACTAAATGTATTTTTTTATTAGACTAGTCTTGTAATTAAAAGTATAACTCTCAGTATTCAGTTACTCACTTATAAATAAAGCTCATCAATGCAAAGTTTCAAAAGTTTTGCACTTTTGCCAAATTTTTTTCTTCCTAAAATCATCCTAATTCTCTCAAGTAATGGTTTAGATAATTTAAACTCATGATACTTACAGGAAGAAGGCAAGTGTATTATTCCATCAATTTTTCACCTCTCAATAGATTAAATGATATTTAAAACATGTACCTCCTGAATGTCCAAAGTTGTGTCTTGCATCATCTTGGTGTATGGAAGTCAGCACTAACAAACTAGATAGCAGAATGGTTCCACCAACTCCATAAAGTATGAACCTCAGTGAGCTGTTACAAATTTAGTGCATTGTAACTTAACTACTATTAGATCATTACACACGAAAGGCATATAATTACAGTACTGGAACAGATGTGACAAAACAGTGAAATACATAGTAACAGTAGTTTTGTCAACATATAGAATGTGTTATGCATATAGGGAAATGATCAAGCGGGGTCTTCCTGACGGGATTCACGTTAAGCCTATTTCACTTTTGGCATTTGATTTTAACATGACCTGACAGTAAAAACTAATACTTGATTTTAAATTTTTTCATCAGTGAAGAAATTGGGATCATTGAATTCCTTTTTTCCAAACAAAGAAGTACCAATGGGAATCCTGTCATGAAGACTATGTGATCATTTCCCTATATGTGTTTGTGTTAAATAAAAACATCCTTTCTATGAAAATGACAATGCATCTAAGCCACTCATAATAATGCAATTAAGGTTAGATGATATACAATTAATGAGCATTTAACTATTGAGCATTTAATGTGATGAAGTCCATGTCATCCTGTGCACCCAACTTATGTGGTCCTTTGGTTTTCGGAACTAAATGCATTTGGTGAATTCTCAATTTTCATATAACTACGACTTCTCACTTTTCACATACATATATGATAGGAACCAGCCTATTAGTATTAGACTATTATTAGAATAATAATAATAATAATATGAGTAATAAGGGTACATGAATATTGTAGTATAAATAGACGGGAAAGGGGAGTTAGTGGTAGGCTTTTGGGACTTTAAGTCTTGGGACTGGGAAGATCGAGTTTATCTCCTTCTTTGGGGGGCTTCGGCTCAATTGGGGGCTTCGGCCTTGGATTGCTGTACTGTTCATCTTCTTCTCTAATAAAATTGATTTCTTGATTTCTTTCTGTAAAACTGTTCTGGAATTTGGAGGTATCTATCATTGGTATCAGAGAAAAACGATCTTGCTACCCGTAGTTGTGTACATGGCAGGAACGATGGAAACTTGGGAGCAAAAGATGGAGAAGTTGCGCGAAGAGATACGCAAATTAAGCATGCCAAGAAAAAATCGGCGTTCTGATAAACCATCGCAGTCGCGAAAGTCGCAGAAGGAGCCGATAATTGTTTCGCACTCGCTAAAGGATCCGCGCGGAAAATTGGGGAAACTCGCGGAAACGATGGAGCGCGGAAAAATGGAGAAGGAGAAGAGCTTAAAATCGGAGAAAGAAAAACGCCCAAAACCTGAGAAAGAGAAACGCTACAGCCTGGATAAGGAGAAGCCTGAGAAGAGCAAACAACATAACCGGCGAGGACGATCGAGGAAGGTACATCGCTGCGTGAATTCGAAAAGCAAAGCTCCATCTCAGTCACAAGAATTCCCTAGTTCGCAGTCGCGAACTGTTTCTCTCAGTTCGCCCTTGCCAATCGAGCATCTTCTATCGTTGTCGCAAGTAAATTCTTACCCTGCGCCAGATTTGTCTCTTGATTCGCAGATGACATTGCAAGCCATAAATCCCAGTGTGAGAGTGTCAACATGCCCACATGAATCATCTGTTTCAGAATCTATAACCATAGTCGCATCAGGAAAAGGATTAACAGGGACTATAATTTCGGAAATTCATACTGAATTGAAGCAAGTGGCACCAACAGTTTCAGAAAATAGCGAAGCTGACATTCTGCAGGTATGTGATAGTGATGTTTGTGTGGTCAAGTCGACATTGACTTTTGGGTTTGTACAGGAGAGGAACTGGCTTAATGTTTTAAAATCTGTAATGATGGACTGTGATATATTACACATTGCTTTGGAAGGGCTGAAGTCATTGAACAAGTTTGATAGATTCGGATGTGAGAGTGATACTTCGATGATAGATAATCAAAATGGGTTAGAAGGAGAATTTTCTGGTGTTGGAGTTGTCATGTATCTGATGTTTGTTAAAGATCTCAATCCTGGTCGTTTCCCTGAGGCCATAATAGGAGGTGTAGGCTTAGACTATCGGTTTGATGATTCTGCTATGGCAAATTCTTATTCTGTGGCTAGAAGCCCATCTTCTATGTCCATTGTACTCGTGAATGGCATTTACAGGGACTTTGTCGGCTCTTATCTTGACTCTTCCATCTTCCAGCATCAACAACAGAAATTGAATGTTCCTGGTTCTTTCAATATGCTGACTACTGGAAAAGAGATTCATTTTGAAGTTCAGTCAACCACTCGGGTATGGGAATCTGGCGCTGAAAACACGAGTTGCTATTCATTGGTCATCCAACCGGAACCACTGGTGTGGACAATACTTTCTAAGGATGACTTGGTGGATCATTTTACCTATGATGTCTTGAAACTGAAACCAAGGACTCTGTATTATGGTTGGAGTTCATGGTCCTATTTTCGTAAAAGAGAGGTTATTTCTTATTACCCAGGTGGTTGGAGTAGTAAGAATGCAGACCATGATGTTAGATATTGCTATGTGATGGTGGGCAATGATCAAGGTATATCAAGAGTTTCAATTCTGGAAGAAATGTCACTCATGACATGTCACAGAGTATACATATCAGAAGCTAAAATCCCAAGGAGTGAAGCAACTGAAAACCGAGGACTTGCATTATACTCTGAAGCAAGAGCTACTAGCAAATGGAATATTGAGCAGAAGGTGATGAATGAAGATCAGTACCAGCAGGAACATAACCACCTGAATAGTATGGATGCTTTGAAGGGAGAGGATCTAGTGCTGTTTTTGCTAGAAGTGAGGATGAAGATTCAAGAATGGAAACTCCTTGACCAACCTACAGTCATGTATTGGGAAGGAAGAGGAGCAAGAAAGAAGAAGAAGAAGAAGAAGAAGAAGAAGAAGATTGTGGCTGTTTCCTATCACCCACCTTGAGGGCAAGGTGGATGTTTAGGGAGGGAGTATTGATAGGAACCAGCCTATTAGTATTAGACTATTATTAGAATAATAATAATAATAATAATAATATGAGTAATAAGGGTACATGAATATTGTAGTATAAATAGACGGGAAAGGGGAGTTAGTGGTAGGCTTTTGGGACTTTAAGTCTTGGGACTGGGAAGATCGAGTTTATCTCCTTCTTTGGGGGGCTTCGGCTCAATTGGGGGCTTCGGCCTTGGATTGCTGTACTGTTCATCTTCTTCTCTAATAAAATTGATTTCTTGATTTCTTTCTGTAAAACTGTTCTGGAATTTGGAGGTATCTATCAATATATATGCCATAATGATCCCTTTGGTGTAATCTATTGAATGAATTACTACAAAATCTATCTCAAACTTGAGTTGTTCACGATTTTTTACAAGATAAACTTAATTCTTCCTATTCTCCTACTGACATATATTGCTACAGAGAACAATGAACTTTATACTCTAGAAAACTTTTTCTTTGCAAAACTAAATATGCAGAAGCAAGTACATTTATCGCAGAATGTGAAGATTAATATGCAAATTTAGAACCTGTAAACATTCATTTAGCAGCCTGGGTAATGGAGAGAGGCTAGAGAGTAAAAACATACTTTGGCAGGACAAAACTAGAAGCAGCAGAAGCAAGTACAAGCACCGCAACACAGGTAAGCAAGATAGCCCATCCAGCAAGCTTCCGTCTTTCACTTACTAAACCTGCTATTTATGTTTCATTATTACATAATCAGAAAAGCAATCAAACTAAAATGTTGAAATATTGTAAAATTTATGATCATCACATTAATCTCAAATAACTTGGGTTTGGATGCTTTGTGGCATGAAACTTATTGCCAATTAAGTGCCTAAAGTTAGTTAACTGTAAATTTATGCAAAAACAGGTCAAGTCCATTCATGACAGACTACGAATAGGTCAAGTAAAATGGAAGAGTGTGTAAGAAGAATTTCATCTGAACAATCATATCTGATACATGTTTGACTAGCAGGATAAAGAAAGAGAAGGACAATGCATCCAAAAAGATTCAGAGTTAACAGCTAGAGTAATTGATGGACATTAGAGTCTGATGGTAAAAAAAGATACTTAATTTTTAATTAGAGAGGAGACTATGTGACATTCAAGTTTCTATTTGTAACTCTTTTTTTCTTTTAGTTTCAAGCGTGTGTGCGCTGGATGGATCTCGTACATTGTAGACCTGTAGTGCCCCAGGTAGCGTTATATAACTCATGAAATTAATAATTAATCACGAATTGTTATAAAAAATAATCTAAAAACTTACAGCTGAATTGAGCCGCTGCTTTCTCCTGAAGAGGATGCCAAAAGGGTGCCTTGACTAACAATGGAACATGATCATCAATGGTTGCAGAAACAGTTTTGGTACTCTCGATAATATCATCATCATTTTTACTGCCACTATAGTGGATGGTTACAGCATCTATGGCATCCTGAAAGGATGGGGGAAGTGGAACCTCATCTGGTGGAACATACCGAAGTATGAGCACAGAAATTGCAACAACTGTGAAAGCAAGAAGTGTACCAACACTAACCTGCATGATGGTGAATCTATCAAGAGCTAAAACCATGAGGAACAAGATGTAAAATGCAATTCATATTGTACTTCAAAGGTGTTCCATACCATTCCTGCTAATTGATCAACATTCATGAAGAATGCTAAGGCCCCACAGAGTAAACCCGTAACTACAGTGCTCTTGACTGGAACAAGAGTATGTGGGTCAATATCCGAAAAAAACGATGGCAACAATCCATCCCTGGCCATGGCCATAAATATCCGTGGCTGATAACAACATAAAACGATAAAATATCTATCATTTAATTATTATTATTATATAGAACAATAGAAGTATATTTTCTTGATACAGTTTTGTATCAAACTGCTCCTGTAGGTACAAAATGCTTCAATTGATTTACCTGAGGTAAGATGGAACCCATCAGTGTCGAGCAAAGAGCAGTACAAGCTCCCATAGTTATTATATATCTGAAAACATGAGCGGTCAAGACTACATTAAATAATAAAAGCAGTTGGATTTGGTAATCTTTATTGGTCAAAAAATGCTTTACTTACACTGCCCACTTAATACCATGGCTCCCAAATGCAGAGGAAATTGGGGTATCAGGATCCATAGCATAGTAGGGTACCAAACCAACAATAACAGCTGAGACTAACATATATAGCATGCAGCATATCATCAATGCCAAGCCAATTCCCAAAGGCAGGTCACGCTGAGGATTTTTTACCTGTTACACATTAAATAAATAAATTCATACATAAATAAATAAGTGGATGGATGGATGGACGGACGGGCGGGCAGGCGGACGGATGGATAGATAAGTAAGTAAGTAAGTAAGTAAACGAACAAAAAACGAACGAACGGATGAATGAAGGAACGAATGAATGAACGAACAAACGAACGAACGAACGAGCAAGTGAGTGAGTGAGTAAATAAATAAATAAATATATAAATAAATATACAGTTCTGAAAACTAAGATTTTAAACATAACAATAACAGTAATAGTGTTGTGGATGATGGTGATGATTAGCATTTCTCAACAATATTCAACTCAACAATTTCAGCTCAACAATCCCTTGCTCCAAACTATTTTTGGGCTCTCTTTGTGAATTATAATTTCATGCCTCCAGTTGATTCTCTCAAAACGACTATGAATAAATTTGCAGTAAGTTGAGTAGTTGAAAGCACTAGTCACAATATATTATCATAAACAAAGATAAGAACTTGTACAAATATTCCCTACTCAGTCACACACTGGACTTCCTAGACAGAGGTGTAGTGATGTATGTATTAAAAGGATGTTTTGTCATCACCCAGAAGCTATACACCATCATAGGGGGTATGCCAAGGTCCGAAATTGCGTATTGCGTGTTTGAGGCGGTTTCTTAGCATTGCCTATTGCGTAAGCCTCATTGCGCAATGAGGCGTAAGCCTCAATTTTTTTAACAAATTTATTAATATAAAAGAACAAATAATGTAATTAATACTTAAGTAAAAGAGTATTTAAAAGGTAACTAATGTCATAATGAAAACATCCAAAATTGAGATCATAAACCCATCCAAAAAATATGTTATAACATCATTTAAAATAAATATTTTCTAATTTATTAAAGTTCTAGTCCTATACTCCTATTAGATCGTAGAGTCCAAAAGATGAATTAAAATAACAAAGATGAATCCACTACGTGTGGAATACTAAAATAACAAAAATAATATTACTCCTAATAATATTAAAAATTCCACTACGTGTTCCACTATGTATTAAAATAACAAAGATGAATCCACTAACTACAAACAAACTAATAAAATAATACTCCTGCATTAAATTATCCGTAGTGGAGTACCTTTTTCCTTCTCATCCAGAACATCTATGATCTATCAATAAATATATAAAATATTAAACCCATACCTGCCGAATGAGAGCAAAGAAAAAGTTGCAGAAGGTTTTTTCTTCTGTGCGCAGAGAAGAAATAGCGGAAGTAGGAATAGAACTACGAAGGTCAGAGAGACTCTAGGCAAACTTGTACACTAATATACTACGCGTCTTAGTGGAAGCGGAAGTTTTTTTTTAAATTTACTTTGGGCTGGCCCTGTTTTTAAATAGCGCCTCAGCACCCGTTTTATTGCGTACGCAATAAACGTACGCCTTTTCCAAAAAGGCGCAGTATTCCATATGGCGTATTTGCAATTCAGCCTTATGTCCTAGAATGTTAAAAAATCACAAAGCTAGCCTTATTGCGTAGAGGCGGAACGCAATTTTAAACGTTGGGGTATGCACCATGGTATATAGTGATAAGAGTAGAAATGCAAGTCCGGATGCTTTTTAAGTAAGTGAGTGGCTAAGTGCTACATACCATAGGGGTAGCATAATTGTCTTAATAAATTTAATGCAAATAATCTTGAGCCTCTTTTGCTCATTGTTCTTAATTCTTATTATGTCAACTAGCTTTTATACGCGCAATGCGCTAAAGCATATACTCAATATTCAAATAGTAATCCCATTTTCAGCTATTTAATTTAATCAACTAATTATCTGATAAGTGAAATAAAAATTAAACAATTGTAATCATTTACATTTTTAAATTTCCTGAAAAACATAAGCCGTATTGGATTAGAATAATTTGACAAAGAGAAAGAAAAACTATTAGTTTCTGTGTTTTCTGATCATATAGAGATTCTCATAATGGGTGAGATACCAATAAAATTAGAAACCGCATAAATCACATGAATCAAAACAAATTGTACGGATCTAAAGTAAAAGTCACGTCAGGATTAAGGATGTTTTTAATTGAACTATTTTCGGTCCTAGACCATACTAGACCAGAGCATAGCAGACCAGACTTAAACACACCAGACTTCGACAATTATAAAAATACACATAGACCAGACTTCTACTAGACCACAGACTAAACCAGACTTGAACAAATCAGAACAGACCTGATCGGAACAGACCAAATCATGCCAGGAAATTCCATTCCAATAAAAAACATCCTAATAATACATCTAAGCTATGTAAAAGAAGATGAATTCAAATGAATATTAAAATTATTTATAAAAAATTTAATCAGGTAAATGAAAAACTAATACTACGGGTATAATACATTTAAATTCAACTACAATAGAACATACGTTCAATCCAAAAAATACATAAAATATTAATTAGAGACTTACTAAAACATTAAAATGTTACATGCGTGTATATGCTATGTTTCATTATAGGAATCATTAAACACCTAAATAAATGAAAGGGGAATACGGGAGATGAGATAATGACGCTAGTTGAATAGTTGATAAGTCATTAACAATGTCAATTAACGGATGAAGGGTTTTTTATGTTTCCTAAAATGCAGCACAATATTTTAGCAAAAAGGTACAAAACCTAATGCGCATAAGAGACGGACATAATAGAGGGGTACTAACCAATACTCACAATTATAAGGTTTTTAGATGTATTGCTTTTTCTAGCTGGCTTGCGGCTCGCATATACTACATTGAATTTATCCACACCATTTTGGCCTTTTATTAACCAATTTATAATATATTGACCATATCCAGACCATCTTATTAACCAACTCCCTAAGTTTGTATACCGATGGCATCAGCTATGAATGCCCCAAAAAATTATGTCCAATTCTCTTTTCTTATACTCAATTTGTCCATGTTAGTATGCTTATCACTGTCATAATCATGTAATGGCATTGTGCTTCGCCCCCTGCCCCCAAAAACACTTGCTGCTGTGAGGCGTTACTGGCCTAACAGAGATTAATATGAAATTAACTTAATTATAGATAAGTATAACACCTCACATCAAATCCTGTCTGACATCTCCTATGGCCCTACCTGCCTCAATAACCATCCGGATGATAGCATATTGATGAAAAATAAGAAGTGAGGCAATACAGAGGACATAAGCACATACCTCCTCAGATGTACTGGCAACTGTATCAAACCCGACATATGAGAAAAAGACAGTTGAGGCCCCTGCCAGCATTCCATTTACCCCGTATGGAAAATACCTAATGGAAAACAACACGCTAAGAAAAGTAATACACAAAGAAAAGTATATTTAAAAAACAGAAACAATCAACATTTACCCGACAGGAAGCTCATATCCAGGCCATCCCGTTTTGAAGCCCAGATATCCACCGGCAATTATTACAAAAACCAATGACAATATATTGGCGAACGTGATGAATCCTTGAGCCATTGTACTCTGCAAGAATTATTTCCTTCAATTAACATGGAGGCACAAGTCACCAATGAAAACAGAACTGTTTAGTTCCCGTTTGGTATCATTATCAGTATTCAGTTTTTTGTTTTATGATTTTAAAAGGTACATGATATTTGTATGTGCTTTATAATGAAATAAAAACTAATCTCACTTATAGCAATCAAGTAAATTTGAAAATTACGAAGAAGAACCTCAAATCAACATTCTCTGGTTTTCAGAAATTCTCTTTTTTTGTTTAAAAAACAGAAAACAATACAGAGAGAGGCCTTAAATGGAAGATTCAAAACTTTGAAATAATAATGAATGAATACCTCCTTGATTCCAAAGCATAAAAGCCCAGTGACAATGCAAACTAACATTGCTGCACACGGGTCCACAACAACATTAAGCCCAGGGATTGTCTGCCGAGCTAAAAAGGTTGGGAGACTGTTCTGACCTCCGAAGAGTAAAGCCTAGTGCATGAACACAGAGATTAATGAAAGCATAATAACTAGGAAATGGCAGATTAGTGGGCAGAACTAACATTTCTCGTCAACTCTGTCTTTCATTTTTTCATGTGGGTGGGTGAGAGTGTGGTAGGAAAGTAGTACATGTCGACCAGGTGGGAACATTTACAATACCTCAGTGCTAATGAAAAGGGAAAAACTCATACTCCCTCCATCCCAAATGAAGAGTCATGTTTGTAATACGACTTTCGTATTATATACAGGACCCTTTTTCACGGAGTGGTAGTAAGTACCCCCATAAGATGTTGCTTGGACACATATATGAACAAAACACAGACATTTGTGTGAGCATATTGATTGAAAGATGATACTCATCAAACATGGGTCGTATTCCCATTGTGCTAATTCATGGGGTACCAGGCTGCACTGCTTGAGAAGGAAACTGTAACCACCTACCAGAAGTAGCGTACCCTATATTACTTGTAACATACTTTAATATTGTTGTCTAATTCAGAAGATTCATGTACCACCTGATTCTCACATTTTCCCTAACCTCAAAGGAGGAAAAGAAGCCTAAAAGTAGATAACAAATCAATTTAACTGTCATCTATGTTTCTTTTATGCTTACATTAGTCTTTCATATTAAGAACAAATAACCAACTTAAAGATGCTTATACAGTATCACCACATAAAGTTACACAAAAAATTGCACATTCCTGTGATTAAAGCACAACAGTAGAGGTAAGCTAGCACATCCCAAAAGTGAAGTAGTGGAGTAAATGAGTAAATCATAATTATGCACAGGCAGATTCCATAGGTTTGTAATAAAGCAAAGGAAGCAAAGAAAGACATCAGCACTAAAGAGTGAGAAGACTAAGAGCTGAGAAAAGAACCAGATTTGGAGATATGCCGCGTGCTACTGCAGACCCTGAAATTGTGTATTCCAATATCATCGCCCATCCAATCAACCAAGCAACACTGAGGTAAAAGCAAACACATTAGAACACGCAGCATACCTAGAGATAAAGTTATCAGGTTTTTCTATTGGAACCTATATCCACAGTTACGGCACGTATCTCAGATTATTAGAGCAAAAAATATAAAACTTTATGCAATACCCTTCTCCAATGCATATGTAAGAATAGTGATAAGCACTCCCAGCAGAAGGGCAACGACTTGCAAGCTCAGCATAGCAGAAGGCAGAAAGTGCTGCTGCTATCCCAGCAATCAAAAAGGAAAGGGTGAGTGCTGGGCCTGTCTGCTCTCGGGCAACAGTGCCAACTATAATATACACACCAGCACCAACTGTGGAACCAACACCTATACAAAATTATACAATTAGACAGGTAAATACTCCATATTAAAGTATACAACAGTGCTTATGCAAGGACCAAAAAGCACAAAACCAAAAAAGTCAATACTCAAATGATAACTTGTGGACAAGTATTACCTATCATTGAAATCAGTAGGTGAAAAATAATCCCCCCCCCCCCCCCCCCCACTTGGTTTTACGTGCCTAGAATGCGGATAGATGGGGGGGTTTGCAAAATAAAATTTTAAATGCTTTGCATAATGGTTAACCAGTTCCTTTTTGGCAGTATTACTGATCTTACCTATGACAATGAGGTGAGGGACGGTCAAGGCCTTAGCCAACTGATGATGATGATGAGGATGAAATCTGCTGTGCGCAGGAGAAGAATGAGAGGATGACTTATTTGAATTAGCAGAAGAGACAGCGGCAGAATCAACCTGCTTCCTCCGCACAATGCTTCTGAATCCCCCAGCAAAATACCCTCTTTCGGAGCAATCAGACGCAAATCCCATTCCTCTTTTTGAATTAAGAGATGTTTCTATCCAAAAGATTTGATATTTGTAGTCCGACTTTAGTTTCTTTTTCTATATTGAGCAAGCACTATAGGGTGGATGAATTCAGTCTTGCAATCAATCAGCGTTGTGTGAAAATAAATACGGAGTAGAATTAAGTGGCCAAGGAACGAGCGCGCATACGCGCGGAATGGGGATTCTCTGCGAAGAAGGAAGTGATATTCTGATTCAAGAAAGAGAATCCGCTTTCACATATCACATCCAATCAGATTATATTTGGGCTAAATATGAAAAATCTACACTAAAACAAGGCTAAAGGGTCAAATAGACCCTTGAATTGATGATCAATTACCCTAGTTTACTCATACCAAATCGGTTTTGTCCGGCCGTCGCTAATTGGGGCGGTTCCCGGTGGAATTTTTTGATAAAATTTTTTGAGCATCTTCTTCATTAAGTCTAGTTTACCCATACCAAATTTCAGCTAAAAACTCAACCGGGAAGGCAGTCAAATGATTTTCCGAAATGTACTGCGCTGTTTAACTTCGCGGGTATCTTCAAAAAATCATTTGACTGCCTTCTCGGTTGAATTTTTAGCTGAAATTTGGTATGAGTAAACTAGACTTAATGAATAACATGCTTAAAAATTTTCATCAAAAAATTCCAGCGAGAATCGCCCCAATTGGCGACGGCCGGACAGAACCTCCTACGTGAAGGGCTAATTGAATACTTTAAGTCAGTTCAGATGCCTATTTGACCCTTTAGCCCCTAAAACAATTGAAAAAAAGTTAAGTTGTCCTGGCCTCCTGTGCTTCAAAGCACTATAGCCTAAACGTAGATTTTCCCTGATTTTTATCAATGCAACTAGTATTGTACCCTCTGATGCACAGGAAGAATCATTTTTATATTTTGTCTAAGTTCTTTTACCATTTAAATGCTAATGTATGTGCATCATACGTATGGAACCTCACTACAATGAAACCGGCCAACCAGTGCGATTCTCGAGGATGTAAAATTCTTCTCATTTTGCTGGATCAGGGGCCTCTGCCTTTGGCAGGCAAGGAGGGTGTCTAGCCATTTTCAACCCTTAGATGAAAAAATTAAAAGTTGTAGATGAAGGGGTCCACTTTGTTCACATATCTCAAGTCCATGAATTAAATCTCTGCCCTCGATTGCAATAAGGCACTCTGACTTAAGGCAGAGAATCCAATTCCCATTTTGCTTATCATGTTTTTTACCGAGTATATAAAAAAGTATTTGCATAATATGTATTGATTTTTCTATGGAAACTAAAATGCATCTATATCAGTGGCGGATTTGGGATTCCAATTTCGGGTATTCAATGTTATTTTTATAACTACAAATTTAAAGAACCATAGATAATTATATTAAATTACACCTACATACCTACATGTTTTTTAATAAATTGGTTGTTCATATGAACCCCTTTGAACAATAGTGGCTCCGCCACTGGTTATATTACGACTTTCAAATATATATTCCAAGAATGAAATCTTAGAATACTTTAGATTTTGAACATAATTGTGAGAGCCTAAAAAATTAGCATTGAAAATTACATGAATGCCACTATGTGAGACTGATCTCGTGAAAGATAACATGATGCGATTAGGGAAATCAATTCTCTCTATTGGTATAAAATTCTGTCCTTTTCAAATGAATTGTATGTGTGTACAGACGACAACTAATTACAATTTGTTTTCTAATTTTGTGTACAGCAAAAATATTTCAAATAGAAAGGTGGAAAATGGTATGAGTTTACCCTTTAAAAGAAAGATAGTGTTTACATTAGAGTATAACACTACCGCGAGATACATCTCGAGTCTTGTGGCACAACTTTGAATTTTTAATTTATTCTCTCCCACTATTGGGAATTTTGTGATTTGTGATAATGACTTAGAATGTTGACATAACTATTGAAATAGTCACTGAATTACCAAAAGTGTTCTACACCGACCAAATGTCTAAAAATAAAAATAATTACGAAGTAATCCTTCTAGGCACCCGACTAGTCACCGCTTAGGCGTTAGACGATTGTCGGACGCCTCGATTTGGCGCCTAATTGAATTAGTCAGCTGCCTTGTAGGTTGACTAGAGTGCTTAACCGACCACCTAAGGCGTCTAGATTCACCAAATTTTTTTGTTTTGTTTTTTATTTTAGTTTTCTAAGAGAGATATTATCTTTAACTTTAATAACACATATGAAAAAAACTACTAATTGTATTGTTGAGGTTTATTCCTTCAACCCTCGGGTCCAACACGTAAGCCCAAGGATTTCGAGTGGAGTGTGTATGAATATCTAGCCCAACAAGCAAGTGATATGGATCAAGGAGAACAGTAAGCAGCAAGTAAAGGATTAGGTATTATTATCTCTTAATAACTTCCTAATACAATACTTCTCACTGAGGCTCGTCGGCCGTTCGTCTTACAAGGCAGTAGAAGTGTTGCGAGTAAGAATGCTATAGCTAGAGTGCTAAGAATAGAAAGTTGCCAACCCTTTACAATGAAATAAATGCTTCTATTTATACCCACCAGTGGGCAGGTGGCTATACTAACGTGGAAGCCTGTGGTTCGCTGGTGTCTCAACCACCAAATGTTCAGTATTAAATGCACTTCCCGCCAGAATCTAGATTTCCCGCCTAACTAGTGGGGACGTTCGTCCGCCCGGGGAGCGAGCTGGATTGCTCCAGGTGGCCTCCAAGGGGTATTGGCCGTTCGTCCCCTGGCCTTTGTGGATTCTCGCCATGCGGACTGGACTGCCTCCGAAGGCTAGGGGCTTGCTATGACGACGTTCGTCGACATTCCGGTGACCCGTGGTCCTGCTCCTTGTCCCTGCATAGATGTTCGTCGAGATGGGCTGTTGAGCTTTAAACCCCAACTACAGACGTTCGTCCCTCCTGGAAGAACGTGGGCTTGCCAAGCTAGCTGTGTTCTACATGGACGTACGTCCGGAAGAAAGGGTAAATGGGTCGAACCTCAACTTGGGCCATTATCCCAACATGTATATAATCTTGAATGTTTTATAATTATTAATATCTATCACATAATGAAGCTAACTGAGTAGGTATAATATACTTCAGTATTAACAAGAGAGATTTACCTAAATAGGACTAAAACAAGGTAGAATTGCAAAAATAGGACTACTATGTTTTATTTAACAAAAATAGGACTAAAAAAAGGTAATCCGACAAAACTACCCTTAGTTAAAAAGCAGCGATGCACACCGGCGATACCTCCATCGATACCTCCAGAGCACCTCAGCGCCGTGTGTCGTAGCCCTGTATCATCGGCTACCAGCCCTGCACTCATGACTCATCGGCGACCAGGTAGGTAATCTCTTCTTCTTCTTGTTCTTCTTCTTCTTCTTTTTCTTCTTCTTCTTCTTCTTCCTAGTTCTCTGCTTTTTTTTATTTTATCAATCAGATTTTTTCTAATTTTTTTATTTTTGAAAGTTTCAAATGAAGTTATATCTAAACTTGAATTTCTTGTTATCAATTTTGATTACTCTGATTCTCAAAATGCCTTGACTAATGTTTCCAGAAAATGTCACTTTTGAAAGAGAGAATGTCATAATCATTGGGTATTTTAAAAAAATGTCACTTTTATGTCATTACAATATTTGAAAATGCCATATTGAGAATGTCATATTTCTATACGAAATTGTCATTATTGTGTCATTATGCATATTAAGTGACATTCTCGCATATCAAGTGGCATTCCTCATGGAGGTTTGTACAATCACTTTCATGACAGTTTCAAAGAAGTAAATGTAATGCCACAAACGTGGCATTTTTTTCATCAAATAGCCAACAGAGGAGGAGGAGGAGGAGGAGGAGGAGGATGATGATGAGGAGGAGGAGGCCTATGGTCGATGACGGAGCTGCGGTGCGTGGCAATAGCCGATGGCGAAGCTGCTTTCCATGGGAGGAAGGGATGTGCGGAAGGGGAGAACGATCGATGAATTGCAAAATTGGTAGAGGGATCGATGAATTACAGAAGGGGGATCGATGAATTGGAGAAGGGGGATCGATGCACTGCAGGGGAGGGTTTCAATGAATTGCAGGAGATGGGGGTTTTAATTGTAGAAGGGCAAAATTGTAATTTGGAGTCTCATTTAAGCAATTTAAAACTTCAAGTCCTATTTTGGAGTTTTAACCATGTTTTAGTCCCATTTGGGATAATTTCTTTATTAACAAACGTGACAACACTATCATTCATGAACATTAATGAGTGTAATTTTACACACACAAACACAAAATTACTAATCATATTTATGCAAGAACATTGATAAAAATATAATTTATATGTCTCCGACCAGTTCCCATCTAGGCGCCTAATCTCTAGGGGTCGGGCTGACGACTAACTAGCGATCTCACTTCTTTTAGAACATTGATTCCAACACATCGTTTCTTTGCAAGAATTCAGATAATCAGATGTTCTGGGACACTTCATGAGATAGCTTATTTGAACCTCATAAAGAGTAATAAAAAAAGGGGATTTCTTCAAGAGAATGATAATCACACTATCAATTTATACAAACAAATAATTCTTGATACATTCTTACAGCAGGATTTGTTTGTGAAATGCATTAACACGTGAAGGAAAGAATTTTTTTCACTTGGTTTCTTTATTTCGTTCGTGATACTCGACGAGCTTTGGAAGGCTTTCCAAAATCAATGTGAACATTGCACCTAACAAAAATATAAATATAAATGCAAGCAATATCTTTCCCATGTATAAGGTCAAGGATATAGCTTGTGGGGGCCTCTTCTTAAATTGGCTATCACCAGATCCCTGCAGATTGAACGACTTTTAAATTATGAAGAATATTACTTCAAGTATTACTACGTATTAAAAAACTTAAAATTTAACTAGAAAAAATGACCAAAACACAATAGTAAAGACACAAACAGCTATTTCATCATCATACACAACACAGTTCAGGATACAAAAATGACAAGAAAATGGATCTTAAATGCAATGAGTTTCCCATAAAGGAATTACAACCAAAATTGCACAACTGAAATTCAATGCATCTCTGAATATCATCACTTTTTCGTGATGACAGGAAATTATGGCAACCACATTGTACTATTGTAGTACTATAACTGTGAAAGAAATAGGAGTAGAAAGAAATATGAGTAGGGTATCTATTTTGCCACTTACTAACATACTTCCATCATTTAATATCTACAGATGGCACCGCAAGGATGGTTATGCAAATGCATGGACCATATAATATTCATTGCTCGAAAATATAGATTGACATTTGACGGAGAGCTAAACAACAGTACGGCGAAAATAGATTCTTGCAAGTTATAGACCTTTCATGTGATTGAGAATCACTTTAATTAAAGCTTAAATCCCCATTGTCTGCCTCATCCAAATTCCAGACTAATACATCTGTATCAAGGCCGTCTTAAATCCCATTATCTGCCTCATGCAATCAAATACAGCTATACCAAGGTCTTTTACTGATTAAAAATTAAGTTTTTTTTTTGCTTTTTAGGCAACCCAATGCACAATTGCACATTGACATCCCCGTCATGCGACAGTCCGCGAAAAGTTTTCATCAAAAGGGTGCATATTGACAAGAGACCACTCTCAAGACTTGAACTCGCAACCTCTCGGTCACACAGCAACACCGTGACCGGTGCGCCATGCAGTGGGGGCACTGCCACATGGATGAGAATGGGTCGGATCGGCCATATCACTGTCTATTCAGTTTAGTCCGTTCAGATAATTATTTTTAACCGAAAATAGATTATTCAATGCTGATTTCAAGCGATGAACATCTATAGATTATAGGTCTAGTTTTGAACCCATTATAACAATTATAAACAATCATATTTTGCTTTTTGAAAGAAAGACATAATTTTGAATTAGAGATGAATCATTTTTACACTGCCCTGATTTTGCATTACAATTGCCCATATTTTTCATACTATGTAATGCTCAGGATTTCAATTCTAAACTAGGATCATGTCGAATGTTACACATTGTGCCATAAAATTTGTTGGTACTTTTTTGAAATAGAATACAACCATGTTAAAGATAAAGTATAATTCATGTTTGTTACTTCATCCTTCAATATAACTTTATTTAACAATTTGATTTTATATTAGAAGTCTTGTCATATCTTTGACCTTTAACTTTGGACATAAACTATCTATACTTGGCAAAAAAAATCATGAATGCCACTTTAAAAAAAAGTAGTGACAATACCACAATATGTCTAACTGTAAGAAATCACTACATCACAATTTCGTGATTATTTACATTTCTCACTACAATTGTTATATGTTGTTCGACGAAATTACCCCAACATCTAATAGTTTTTTTATCCAGATAAGGGGCACAATTTTTGTCATAAGTAATAATACTCCGTCCCTTAAAACTTTGCAACTTTCCTTTTTTGGTTGTCCCACTAACTTTGCAACTTTCCCTTTTAAGTAAAGAATTTGTGGCTCCAGCTAATTCTTTCTCCTCTGTACAAACATCACAGTTTTTACTTTATTAATCCTCGTGCCGATCAAACTTGACCAAGTTTTAAGGGACAGGGGAGACTAAATTTCGGGGTCAGGAGTGAGGGCAAGGCGTTCCATCTGATTATAAAAATTAAGTGTTGTGTAACAAAAACTAGGCACGCTTTAACTAGAAATGTGCTTTAAATACTCTTACATAATGGTCATTTTGTATTTTGAAAATAAAACGCCACATTGAATTTTTTTAAACTAAACTACACAATGTTCAGCCCCTGGTCCACTTATCCAGACTCTATTAGACTGCCCTGGCCCCTGGTCTATTCACGGTCTCACGGACTAAGATTCAATGTTATTGTCATCATAGCAATTCCTTGGTAGTAGAAGCATATTTGTCATCTTTGTTCTCTGGGGGTTATTTATCGATATTCAAAACTGACTTGGAAACGACTTCATTTAGCAGTCAAAGGCATATTGATAAATCATGAAACAACAGTGAAGTATCATAAATACTCCGTAAGTAAGAACTCGAGTTCTTGTACCGCTGGAAAACCATCTCAAACCAGTGAACATCAAAGTTACTTTCAGGTACTACAATTTATATCTGATCAGTTCCTATAGTGAGTTAAGAGCTTATTCTTTTTACTTCTCTTTCATGCATTCTAATATTTCCCTGTGATCTCATTTTTCTTCACTAAAGTTGGCAATTGCATTGCAGAAAACTTTACAAAACTAAGATCAGTACTGATAACAATAACATAACACTATCAACAAGAAAGACAGTGATAGAGGATAGTTCAAAAGAACAAAGAAATTTCATACCGTTGTCACAGGATTATATGCTTGTCCCATCACTACCATGTTCTCCTTCGTAGAGCTTCCAAAACCTAGTTAGAAGTCGGGAAGTTAAACATTATATTCATATGTGATGCTCCCCACAATAACAAGTCTATAACGAAAAATTGTGAAACTATAGTATTGTCTGGTGAAGTTATTTTTTCTGTTTAACTTCTTTAAAACACACAAGTAAATTTGTTCCGCAGTAGTTTTCCTTGTTCAGATTCTGACAGAAAAAAAAAAGTGAACATTACTGGCAGCATGAACTTATTGTTCTCAATGCAACCAATAAAGATTCAAATTTAGACACTGTTTATAAGATATTTAAATTAAGAATCTTTATGAAAGTAGTAAATTCCCATCATTATACGCCTAGCTATATCCCTTTTTACTTGTTGAGAAGTGAAAACGTTTTATAATTCTTGACTGAACAAACTTAATTCTCTCATTTCACAACATAAGTTACTGTTAGTAATTAAAATTTACATCTTAAGAAATACTCCCTCCGTATTTTAAAGTTTCATGCACTTTCCATTTTAGGATGTATTTAAAAGTTCCATACACTTTCACTTTCTGGTAAGTTTTTCTTTTAAAAATACTCAATTACCCTTACTTTTTCTACTTTTCATCCTTTCTTTCTTACTTTTTCATCTTTTCTACTACTTTTTCTATACTATTCATTACTCCTACAATTCTTCCTTAAATCTTGTGTCAAAACCTAATGTATGGATCTTTTAAATACGGAGGGAGTACACTAAAAGAGTAAAAGTTTTGCTTAACCGCCATCACGTATTCACGTTATTCTGTTAGAGTCCCAGAACCCCGGGTCTTAACATATTCGAATATGAAAAAATATAGTACACAAAAAATTCAATATTCTAATAGGACTGCGTTTTGACTCAAAAATAATGACCTCAATAGGTAATATAGAAAAGAGAGGGTAAATTATGTACAGTTTATAATAACTTTACACATGTACTTGCTTTATTTAGTTGCAACTTTTTTACTTTGAACGTTCATACTCTTACTTAGACCATATACTACCTCAGTTCGATAATTAACTTCTCATTTTGACTTTTGAGCTCAAGATATGCTAAATTGATGATTAATTATTTAAACATAATATTATTTTGGCTTAAGGGTCAAATAAGCCCTTGAACTGGCTAAAAGTGTTCAATTAGCCCCCCTTATATTGGAGGTTCTGCCCGGCCGTCACTAATTGGGGCAGTTCCCGGTGGAATTTTTTGATGAAATTTTTTGAGCATCTTCTTTATTAAGTCTAGTTTACTCATACCAAATTTCAGCTAAAAATTCAACCAAGAAGGCAGTCAAATGATTTTCCGAAATGTAATGCGCTGTTTAACTTCGCAGTTATCTTCAAAAAATCATTTGAACAAGAATTCTTGAACGCATTTTTGCGTTCTAGAATTAATTTGAATGTGTTCCCGATTGAATTTTTAGCTGAAATTTGGTATGAGTAAACTAGACTTGGTGAATAAGATGCTCAAAAAATTTCATCAAAAAATTCCATCGGGAACTACCCCAAATCGCGACGGCCGGACAGAACCTCCTATAGAAGGACTTAATTGACCTTTTTATGAAAGTTCGAGGACCTATTTGACAGTTTTTCCTTACTTTATTCTTACTTTAACAATTTGTGCAACAGATGAGTTAATTAAATACGGAGTATAGTCCTTCCCTTTCACAATCAAAAGTCACACTTTTTTTGATATTTCAAAACAAAGTCAATCTTTGTTATTTGGTAAACAAATATATTTCAATACAGTACAAAATAGTGTCAAAGTATTAAGGACATGTTTACTTCACCGGTTATTAAACGGTGCTTATTAAGACCCGTGTTAATAAGCGGCGCATAAAATAAACAATGTTGTAAGACCGTGTTTACTTCAAACGGTTTTAAAACACCGCTTAACATTAAAATGTCCAAAATAACCCTATACATATATATACACACAAACATTCATGAACACAAGTATATAATATAATATGTGTACCCATACCCCTAACCCCTTACCCACCCTACCTTACCCCGACCCCACCCACCGCCTACCCCTACCCCCTACCCCTAACCTACCTACCTGACCCCACCCTACCTACCTGGCCCCACCCTAACCTATCCCCACCCTACCCTACCCCCGACCCCATAGGCCGGTGGGGTCGGGGTAGGTGGGGTAAGGGTAGGGTGGGGGTCGATTAGGTAGGGTAGGGGTGGGGTAGGTAGGGGGGGGTCGGGGTGGGGTAGGGTGGGGTCGAGGTAGGGTGGGGTCAGTGTAGGTGAGGTAAGGGTAGGGTGGGGTTCGGTTAGGTAGGGTAGGGGTGGGGTAGGTAGGGTGGGGTCGGGGTGGGGTAGGGTAGGTGGGGTAAGGGTAGGGGTGGGGTGGGGTGGGGTCGGGGTAGGTGGGGTAAGGGTAGGGTGGGGGGTCGGTTAGGTAGGGTAGGGGTGGGGTAGGTAGGGTGGGGTAAGGGTAGGGTGGGGGTCGGTTAGGTAGGGTAGGGGTGGGGTAGGTAGGGTGGGGTCGGGGTGGGGTAGGGTAGGTGGGGTAAGGGTAGGTGAGGTGGGGTGGGGTCGGGGTAGGTGGGGTAAGGGTAGGGTGGGGGTCGGTTAGGTAGGGTAGGGGTGGGGTAGGTAGGGTGGGGTCGGGGTGGGGTATGGTAGGTGGGGTAAGGAGGGTGGGGTCGAGGTAGGGTGGGGTCAGGGTAGGTGGGGTAAGGGTAGGGTGGGGGTCGGTTAGGTGGGGTCGGGGTGGGGTAGGGTAGGTGGGGTCGAGGTAGGGTGGGGTAAGGGTAGGTGGGGTAAGGGTAGGGTGGGGTCGGGGTAGGGTGGGGTCGGGGTAGGTGGGGTTGGGGTCGAGGTGGGGCAGGGATAACAATAGGTTACGGGCAAGGGGTAAATTCGGAAACTGAAAAAGCTTAAAGTGCCGCTTAATTAATACATGGGGGGGTGGTATGCTTAATAAGCGGCACTTTAAGCACCTCTTTCGGTTAGTAAGCGGCTTTTTAAGCAGTGTGCGTGTTTACTTCACCTGTCTTACTAACCTAACTGTGACTTTAGCAGTGAAGTAAACACCTCCTAAGTAATACTCAGTGTATATAAAAGAATACACGGTAGAATATACGGAGTACTAAACACATACCAATGGCGTCAGAAGCCGTCCGTAGTGTCCATCCATCGCCGTAATTGACGAGAACCGAATTGGGGCCGAATATTACGGGCTCTTCCCCATCTTTTACCGCTTCTATGTGCGTTCCTGGCGGCAGAGAAAATCTGGATTCCAGCTTGCTATTTATCATTCTGACGGAAAATTTAGCCTCCGTCCCGGCAGCGAATCTCCATCTCCTGTCTGTGCGGTGGCAGATCACCTCCACAAACTGATTTTTGTGTTTATATAATGAGTATGATCAATATGACTGTATAAGGTCAGCTGTAAGAGTAATCGAGAAAAAGCTGAAGTGGTATCACTAACCGAAGGAGATTGCTTATTGCGCTTTGCGACTGCAGAAGCTGTGCGGTCTTCTTCTTGCTCGGCCATTAGAGAGATTATTATTATATGATTACTGAATAGGCAGTAAATATGACAGAATTACTCTTGGCCGCGGGGCTTGCAGAGGGAAGATTACTCTTTACAATAGGAGCACCCGGCAGGGTGGGGATTCAATCCCCTTTTGAATCTGAAAGCATCAAACTAGCGGGGCAGTCGATAGGAATATACTACGTTCGAGTCTCCTAAGATGAATGTATATTCGTTAAACTTGGCTCTGTAGACATTTTACTTGTGTTCTATTTTTCAAATTGTCAACAAAAATTGAACTTAGGGCATTAGGCCAAATTAATTGAACTTAAAAATAAATAAATAAAATTAATATGGAGAAAAAAATTTGGGTCTATTTTTGTCTATCTATATTTTTGGACCTATGATGGTTGCCCCTGTTCCACCCCGACCGGCCATGAAAGGTGTAAAGTATTTTACCACCCTCCCCTCATGTAAAGTGTTTTACATGGTATAGTGTAAAATATTTTAAAATAATGTCATACAGTTTACATTAAATAATCGTACCAAATAGTGTAAATTGTTTGCATCCCTACACTTTACATGCAAAGTGATTACTCTATACCTTAACAAATGCCCCCAGAGAGTTCGGGAATGGTAGCTTGGTAGCTCTCCGAGTCTTTGACCTTTAGCGCCTGTTTGGTTCAAAAGAGGGGAGGGAAGGGGAAGCAAGAAATTTTTAATGAGCATTTGTGTTTAGTAGGAGGAAAAGGAAGAAGGTTTAATAAAATAAATTTCCTAATTTATCCTCGATAAAGATGTTTTTATTTGGATTGTAATTTGTCCCAAACCAGACCAGACCAGATCAGACCAGACTTGGGTAGTTATAAATATACAAAGAAACCAGACCGATCAGACCAGATCAGACCAGACCAGATCAGATCAGACCAACAAATTACAGTCCAAGTAAAAACATCCTAAGTAACTTATCATTGTAAATCCTTTGACTAATTACGAATTATTTTTTCAGCATTATAGAAAATCTAGTTTAATTTGTCCATACCAAATTTCAGCTCAAAATTCGATCGGTAAGGTCGTCAAATGATTTTTGCAAGTTTGTCCGGAATATGTATTTTCCGGACCAGTTAACTTGCAAAAATCATTTGACGACCTTCCCGATCGAATTTTGAGCTGAAATTTGGTATGGACAAACTAGACTTGATGAGGAACATGCTCAAAAAAATTCATCAAAAAATTCCACCGGGAAGGTGCCCAAACGGGCTCGGCCGGACGGGACAGCCCGTCAGGCCGGCCTGATGAGAAGAGCCCCATATATATATATATATATATATATATATATATATATATATATATATATATATATATATATATATCGGGAGTGGTTCTAATGAGAACAACTCTTATTGTGAGAAATGAGAACATATCTTAACCTTCCATCTTAATGAATAGACGGATGAAATTTGTGGCATACACCTAATTTTGGTGTGGATGTGCGTACAAGATCAAATCCATTATTAATGGGTGCAACGTTGATAAGATAAAAAGGGTACGATTGTAATTGTTCAATTTTTTTAATGATCACAAGGTAATGCAGTACGGTTCCTACTTTCTCAAAATATCCGAAATTTATGCACAGTTAGAAGCACTCAACAAAATAACGTTTTTTTAATATGGAAAGCACTAGATTGTAGCAATATATTGCATTAATTTTTTGTGCAAAAAGTGCATTGGAAAACCGAGGATGAGTTCATTGCAAGAATAACACGTGAACAAGTATCAAATGCACAATCACCACTATCTAATGCAAATTAAAAAATTACACGTAGTTTGCATGTGACACACAAGAAACATATGAAAATAAATCACAACAGCTACATAACATACAAGAACGAGTATCTATCGCACAACCACAAATGTCTAATGCACATAGTTCGTATGTAGGCACCATAACAAGTATCTTGAGCAGTATCTAATGCACAAGTATCTTGAGCAGTATCTAATGCACAACAATTAAGAACTTCATTCAATTTAAATTAGAGGTAAGGGTCAGATTAGTACTCAAAGTTGCATAAAAAGGGTCAAACAAGTCCTTATATAGGAGTTTCTGTCTGGCCATCGCCATTTGAAGCGGTTCCCGGTGGAATTTTTTGAGGAAATTTTTTGAGCATCTTATTCATTAAGTCTAGTTTACTTATACCAAATTGCAGCTAAAAATTTAACTGGGAAGGCATTCAAATGAATTTTTAAAGATAACTGCGCGGTTAAAAACACAGTTATCTTCAAGAATTCATTTGAATGCCTTCCCGATTGAAGTTTTAGCTAAAATTTGGTATGAGTAAACTAGACTTAATGAATAAGATTCTCAAAAAATTCCATCAAAAAAATCCACCGGGAACCACCTCAAATGGTGACGGTCGGACAGTAAGGACTTATTTGACCCTTTTTATGCAACTTCGAGTACCAATCTGACCCTTACCTCATTTAAATTAGTAAGTACCACACCAGAATCAATATCTAATGCATAATACGTTTTTACGCTCAAGAATCAACATGTAACACATAATATGTATGCAATACACAAAAATATATATCTAACACACAACCATGAATATCCAATGCACATGAACTAGTATCTAACTCATAGTTCGTATTCAACACAAAAATGGAAAAATGTGATAAATTTAGATGCATTAGGAATATATGGTTGTGCAAATAAAAAAATTAAAAAAATTAGGAAGTGATAATAATAATCCAAATGTTGCTACAAAGTAAAATAATATATTTGATTATAAAACATGCCATTGGTGCAGCACGTGAAATTAATGTACAATAACATATGTTAAGTGTATTGCAAACAAAATTATTTTTAGAAGGAAAAAAATGCATAAATATAATTCTATTATAGTATAGTAACAGATATTGTGTATGTTCACTCATAATATGTTTCACCAGTTCTATCGTGCTATCTTATTATATTATTAATATTATAAGATATAGAAGATCACCTAATAATAATAATGACGCTTCCACAAAAACGGAAATCATTATTACGGATGGAGACAAACTTAATTACCATAAAAACGGACTTGGATTGATTACTAAACTGCCCTCACGTAAAAGTTAGATCTAAGGAAACAAAGACTTGATATCAATGGTTAGGATTTGTTCTCATTTCTCACGTTAAGGCTTGTTCTCATTTGAACCAAAATCTATATATATATATATATATATATATATATATATATATATATATATATTAAGGATCATGTACAAAGTCTTCTTGATTTACAAAATGAAAATAAATCTCAACCCTCTATTTTAATTGATAGAACCATGTCTTCCATCTTGGTTATATTGACCAATTAAGGGCTAATTAGTCTTTTAGTTTTAGTTTATTTTTAGAAATAAAATCATGTCTCCTACGCATAAGTGATTACGTTCAACGGTTCAATTATTCCCCTCTTGCACATTCGTCCAGCCATATCTTCAGGATCAAAGCTTCACCATCTATATCTCTTCTCCATCTTCATCTTCATTTTTCTCTGTCTCCATCTCCATCTTGATCTCAAATTTAATAGAATACGATCAGTGTTCTTCTATTCAAATTCCATGAATTCCGGCACGCATAGGGAGACCATTAGTTCTCGAACGCCGGAACTATCTTATGGATGCCAGATTTTTTTTTCCTTTATGAAATCCATGAATTTCGTTTTCATACAGAGTTCTTGCAATTTTAGTATGCAAAAGTGTTGTATTTTTACCATTTAGAACAAATTTCTTACATATTATGCATTTTGTGTTCTCATGAATGACATATGCATGTGAATTGAGTATATAATCCAAATGACGTAATGACAAGATGCAAGATATGAAGTTCTAAAAAGCACAAATGTCATCTTAATAATTAAAATGCATTGTATGAACTTTTGAGATGCATATGTAGTAATCATAAAATGCAACATAAGAACTACTAAAATGCAGATGTCATAGCGATAAGATGCAGTGTGAACTTATAAAGTGCACATATCATAGTTTTAATTACTAAAATGCACTTGTCATAATGATACAATGCAACATATGATGAACTATGAAAATGCAATATAGACATATTTTATCATTATATAGTTCTAATATAAGTTGTGGAGACATATACTCCGTATATGATAAATATATAATGCACGTCTCGTAACCTTATTATGCACATCACGTAACCCTAATATGCACATCTCGTAACCTTATTATGCACATCACGTAACCCTAATATGCACATCTCGTAACCTTAATATCCGCATCTCATAACCTTATTATGCACATCCCGTAACTTTAATATGCACATCTCGTAACTTTATTATGCACATCTCATAACCTTAATTAATATGCACATCCTGTAACCTTATTATGCACATACTGTAACCTTAATATGCACATCTCGTAACCTTATTATTCACATCTCATAACCTTAATATGCACATCTCGTAATCTTATTACGCACATCTTGTAACCTTAGTCCGCAGACACCTCTTTTAGTGCTGACTTCTTCATTCTACAACTCTCGAAATTACCATCTTTAAGTTTTGAAAATGGAAGGTTAATTACGGAGCGTAAGATTATGTAAATCAAGAGATTAGCTTTATTTGTAGATGCTATTATTAAATATGGTTAGGAGATTTGATCATTAATTATTTCCAAAAGTCATTTTACCCGCCGTCCACATTCCCAAATTAAGGGCCTCTGCAACTTTCCATAATTTGATATCATATATTTGGGTAGTTAAATTACTAGCATAAATAGTGGGATTTAGTTATATAAGACTTCCAATTATAATTTTACAGCACATCTACGTTGAAATGTTGAATTGAATTTACGTATGTAACCTTCCCACTAAACGATGAGTGGTAGTGGGCTTTATAGTTTTTATTCCATGCATCTCACCACACAAACAAGTAGAATGGATTGCATATCGATAACCCTTCATTTCATGATAACGTACGGATGTGATCAGTTTGTATTTTGTACCGGAAGAAGAGTTTGTACTTGATCTTGTAAGTAGATAATGAGTATATGAGTAGATATAATAATTGTATAACTAATGTAATGTTTATAATATATTAACTATAAGTATATTACTATAAGATGAGTAATACACTTATATTTAATACTTTAATGTATATAAGTATATATCAAGTAAATGTAATATGTAAATATAACCATATAAGTAAATAACAAGAATATAAAAAGTAGATAATAAGTAG